ATTAAATTGCCGTGCTTTTGTTTTAATCATAATTTAAATGAAAATCCCCATCTTGGAACACTATTAGAATGTAAGCTCCTATACACGGGCCTTTTTCTGGTATTTGGGTTTTTGGGGTTCCGCCCCCAGCTAAATTCCTAGTGCCTGCAATGGTTTCTGGCACATAATGGACCCTGGGACGTGTGAGTGAATGAAAGAAAAACTAACAACTTGCCTTTATTTTATGCCCTAAGACTCTGTTTTGTTACTTTTTAACTCTGGTGTGTCAGGCATGCATTCCTCAGCTATAAAGAATGGCACTTAAGGTAGATTTTTTTAGCGTTCTAAGTCCTGTTAATGCCAGTTAGTGTTGCCACTTTTTAAGTGTTTTAAAGCAGGATGTGAAAAGAATGACAAGGCTGAGCGTAGGAAGAAGACAACTAAATCTCATCAGAAACCAAGCCTGGAATTACAGACAGGAAAAGCCAGCAAAAGGCTGAAGCCAGCTGGAGGAAAGACTGTGCAGCTTGCCTGATGAAAGATAAAACGTGCTTTGCAGAGAAAATTGATGAGAAGTAACTTAGCCTTTCATAATGCAGCCATACCTTTTTGATTCTTGCGGGCATCCCTCAGTACTGCATACATGTTCAGATGTGTCTAATACAGACGTATTTTGATAGATGTGTTCACTGGTAGAGGATAGTTTGTCACCATGAGCCCATGAGTAATAATTAGACAGTTGACTTATTGCTCTTTACTTCGCATTTCAGATTTAGCATGCGGGTGCCCCTTGTTTATTTTATATTAGTCATTCTAAATACTTTACCTCAGACCAGAACATGCTTCTGAAGCAGAATTGCTCTTGAGCCTTGGGTTACCCCAAGCATCTTTATGTTCTGAGACAGCATTGGAAATCCTAAGCATGCTAAGCAAGTCCAGGCTTCCTCTTCCATTTCTATTCTATTTGATTACCATGATTAACACAGAGCTGGCAGCCCTTCATGATTCTCAGGGAGTTAGCCTTTTAGGATGAGTACCTCAACACTAACACATATATCAGGAGTACAAGTCCTGCTGCTAGGAGAAAATGACTACCATTGCAGACAACATCCGTACCCAAGATTGCTGGCTGACCAGTGTGTGCACAGGTCTCAGCACACTGTGAGGTGATGCACTGTTAGCTTACAGCGTAATGTCACGCTGTTGGTATACTACTGTGTAAAAATGAAAATGTAGGTACTCTCCAGCAAATCTAGCTTACCATGCAGCCTTAGTAAAATACAGGGTGGGGAAAAAGTAGTTTACAGTAGTTCTTACAGAAAATAATACAATAATAAAGAATACAAGGGTAAACTCACAACTGTAAACCTCCTTTTGCCCCACCCTGTATTCCCTGACTGCCTGAGAAACCATCTTTCAAACAACCCATTTGAAACACCTTAGTTTTGATCGTGGACTACAATTAAATGAAAATTACTGTTGTCTCGAGATCTTTTTCTAGCCATTGCACATCACCTTTCATTTTTTGCTGTTATCCATCGTCACATTTGCAAGCATCTACCTTGTATGCTGTTATGGACAAATGTTTGTATTCTCCCCTCTCCCCAAAATTTCATATAATCACCCGATGATGTGATTAGTGATTTTATAAGAAGAGGAAGATGCTAGAGCTTCCTCTCTTCATTGCATGGAGAAAGGCAACTGTCTGCAAACCAGGAGCAGGGCCCTCACCGAAAATTGAATCTGCTGGCACCTTGATCTTGAACTCCCTGCCTCCACAACTGTGAGAAATAAATACCTCTTTAAGCCACCAGTGTATGGTATTTGTTACAGCGGCTTTATCAGAGTAGGATACCCATTCTTCATATTCTGTTCTAACCAATTTCATTGGGTCTCCTGACCAGTCAATGCCCAGGAGATAACACATGCTAACTTAATGCCATCATCCTGTTGAGTTTATAATAAAAAATTATCATGCATCCCTGTTTTCAGAAGATATGTTCTCACTGGCCTATTCCATATTTCCCTGTTAACCAGAGGACATTAAAATCTTGTTCCAAAACAAGTCTTTGGGGGGGTTTGTAGCTAGATGTTCGTTTACATTGAGATGTATATGTGTGCAGATCTGTGGACGTTCTACCAATTGTTCAGACATGAATATACCTAAAAGTTTTATGCACAGTTACATGTTTAGGTCTGATACATGTGAAATGTCCCATGACTGTTAATTGGGGATAGCAGATACTCATTTCTCTTGCCTTGTGTAGTTCCCTCCCTAATTGCTTTGTGAACTAACCTTGTTATTTATGTTCTTTGATATCTATATTATTACAGTGTTGGTTACTTTTAATTTTTATTCATAAACATTTGTCAAATACAGCTTCAAGTGTTTACATATATCTGTATTTGCTTATTGGATTCTATGTCCCAGCCACTATTGTTTGCTTTACTTGGGTCATCTCATTTAATCTTCCAACCGTCCTAAGATATAGATGTTATCCTCATTTTTTAGAAAGAAACGAGTTTGATGAAGTTAAATTACTTGGTCAAAGTCACATGACATGACTTATCGCCAAAGCTCCTGTTTCAATAGCTATTTTATAATGTCCCTCAATCTGCAGTCATTGGAATGCATCCTTTTGCCGATGAAGGGATTGAGGCTCAGTGAGGTAGCTTGCTCACATTTATATAGTTGGTTACCTACAGAGTTGGGATTCACATCCTGATTTTGTGACTCAGGATTCCAGTGCTCTTTGAATTCCAGTGCCCTGGATGTCCCAGTTACAACTTCCATGTCTGTGACTTAACAAAGTGCTCCCTACCAACCTATTTCATTGGATGGTTAAAGCTGCACTCGAGGTTTGACACAGGTATTGTGTCTCCCTTGCTTTAAATGATGAAACTGAGATTTGGGATAAAAGAATTGCTTCTATGTAAAAGAAAGTAAGCAAATCTTTTGATCCTTAACCCAACCCTTTCAACATAGCCCTTCCCTGCATAAAAAATGTAAAAAGCTGTGTCTTGTACACCTCTGTAGATAAATTCTCCATTGCCTTATATCATTTCTACTTGTTCCTATAAACCAAACTGTCACAAGTTTAATTCTGACTCGTGTTTTTTGTTTTATTTTTTTCTTTTTTTCTGGTCCGTCTTACCATAAGACAGTGACTTGGATTTTCATATTGTTATCCACATTCTTCCCATTTTCTATTAGTAGATCCATAATACAAAAGAACATCTCTTTAGGGCAGATAGATTATGACCCAGGTGGTTTTTATCTTATCAATTATGCCCTTAGGGTTAATAAAGGTGACCCTGGAGAATATGTCAAGATGCTGGATAGGACTTTTTGACTTGTTTACTTGTGTTTCTTTAAGGTAGTATGTTGGGCCTGGCTAGTATAGCTCAGTGGATTGAGCACAGGGCTGCAAACCAAAGGTTGCTGGTTCAATTCCCAGTCAGGGCCCGTGCTTCGGTTGAGGGCCAGGTCCCTGGTATGGTGTGCACAAGAGGCAACCACACTTTGTTTCTCTCCTTCTTTTTCTCCTTCTTCCCTCGCTCTAAAAATAAATAAATAATCTTGAAAGAAAGGAAGGAAGGGAGGAAGGGAGAGAAAGAAAGAAAGAAAGAGAAAGAAAAAGAAAAAAGAAAAGGAAAAGGAAAAGTAGCAAATTGGATGTAACTGCTGATTTTTAGAACCTTCCTAGTTTGTTCTGGGACCTAATGTCATGGTGGTTCTTTATTGTATACCACCTTGCTCATGGATGTGCTTCTTGGTTCTCTTTTGCACTACATTGTTATGTATTCTGGGTCCTCTATAGTGGAAAATAGAGTCTACTTTCAGCTTTTGCTTCGGAAAGCCTTTACTGCATATAGTGGTGTTTCTCTTTTTGGGCGGCTGATTAAGTTCCTACCTTCTTGTGTGATTGTAGGGTTGGCCTGATTATGAAATGATCTATAGTCACTTCCAATTGTACGGCTTGAATGTAGAGATAAGAACATGTTAGCTTTTCTATGGTTGTCTAAAAAAGTATCTAATGATCTTCCCTTCTTCCTAAGTCAATGTTTTCTGCTGAAAATAAAATGTAATGAAACACTTGGTCCTTTAGTTGATTAGACTGGACTTAAGTGGTCTTTAATATGTCATAGGGAATATGTTGGAGAGTGTACCCTCAGTTCTAGTGCAAATATAACATAGCATCATAGTCTTAGTTCTCAAGAAGTTTCTGTAGCCATTCAGCCTTCATCAGCAGCTGAGTCCATATATATGTTGATAATATTAACTCTTTTGTGAGTATAAATACAATGCATTCTATTTTTTTACTAAGTTCTCTCACTAAACCTAGGGCAAATCCCATGCATTTCAGAACTTTGGGAGCCACTTTGTGATTCCAGAAAAACCATTTTGCCGTGTTATACAGTAGTTCAAAGTGGTGCTTGGGGGGATTGCATCTGCAAAATAGAATATTTTAGTCAATTGAAATGATCAATAAATATAGTATATGTCAAGGTAAGTACTAGCATTACAGTGTCTTGACTTTCTTCTGAGGAAATGATATCTCAAAAATCGTCAAATGTGTTCCCTCTTCTGCTTTTTTCTAGAATAAGAATCTCACCTACGACAGTTTTCCTATGGCCATGAAGTTCATGTCATTTCTATTTGTTCCTTTAAACCAAAGTAACTACAATGGTAGTAAGACAAACAAAAGTAATAACCCTACAATGTCTAGATAAGTGCCGGGTTATAGCTGTAAGAGTATCACATGGATTTCAAAGTCAGCTAGAGAGGCACAACCTCTATCCATAGAAGTATCCGTAGAAGATACAGTACATTTATACGAGAGGAATGTGTATCTTTTCTATATAAAATTTAAGGCATCGTACCACTGAAACATGAAATGCCTGAAAGTAAATTGTATACCTCTTGTAGAATTATTTTGCAAATAAATTGATATTTTGAGAAAATCATTGAACGTATTTAAGTAATCTTGCTGCTTTTGCATTTTGTCATCTGGATGCAGCTGAAAGTGCCCATGGCAGACAAGCCTGGTAACACAGTGAATTTCCGGAAGCTGCTATTGAACCGTTGCCAGAAAGAGTTTGAAAAAGATAAAGCAGATGACGATGTCTTTGAGAAGAAGCAGAAAGAACTTGAGGCTGCCAGTGCTGTAAGTATTTTCACAGGAAGTGCATGTGTGGTTTTAGTGTTAATAGAATTTTCACGAAGCTGGCTACGGCATCTCTCTACTATAGGTGTCTGCGGCAGATACTATATTGGGGTCTAGGGGAATACTTCATTTCTTTTAATGCTGCTTGTTAGAGCAACTCAACCTTCTAAGACAGGGATTCAGAACCATCCTAAGACGTCACTGAGTACCAGAAATCTGAAATGGATGCAGACTTTCGGGTATAGTTGCAGTCGGATTCTCAAAGGGTATCCCAAACTTCCAGAAAGGGGGTAAAGACCATGAATCTAAGTGTATGTTCTTAGTATCCACTGTGCAGTTTTCATCATCAAGATTCTATTCCTTACACAACAGCCAGAGGAGAGGACAAGGCTCCATGATGAATTGGAAGAAGCTAAGGACAAAGCCCGGCGGAGATCCATTGGTAACATCAAGTTTATTGGAGAACTCTTCAAACTTAAAATGCTGACAGAAGCCATCATGCATGACTGTGTGGTGAAGCTGCTGAAGAACCACGATGAAGAATCCCTGGAGTGCCTGTGTCGCCTGCTCACCACTATTGGCAAGGATCTGGATTTTGAGAAAGCAAAGGTAAAAATTCAAAATCTCCAAAACCTCCAGCAGGGGCTCTGTCAGTTGCAAAAGAAATAAAACAGTCAGCAAAAGTGTTGATCTTGCTCCAGCCATAAGGCTGTTTATTTTTCTTTCTTGCCCTTCATTGTCAGTGTTAGGCCATCATGACATTACCACATTTCCATTAAAGCCAGAGGTGAAGAGATTCCAAGTTACCTAAAAGCCAGTTCATGAGTTGTTCAGATTATTTGTCACTTGTCCTTTTTCCGCATGACCTCTTCACAGGTCACTTGTATGTATAAGCAAATTATGAGCAGAAATAAAGGGAGAAAAGCTCCTGTGGGCCAGGGCTGAGGGTGATGCAGAAGTGAAGAAAACCCAGTAGCTTTCTTAAGTTTATGCTCTAATTAATGGCACAGCTATCTAATCACAATATAAGAAATCATTTAAAATAATGTAATTCAAACATAAGGTGGTGCAAATAAGAGATTGGGAAATTAGAAACGCTTTAGAGAAATGTCAGAAATATTTCATGACATCTGAATCAACTAGGATTATGTTTGGTTGTCACAGAAAACCCCAAATATTGGTGTTTTTTACAAGATTGAGGTTTATTTCTCAATTGTCCAAGTAAAATTCAGAAGTAAGAAGTCTGAAGCTGGTCTTGTGACTCAGAGATGATAAAAAAATCAAGTTTCTTCAGCTTAACATTCTGTCATTCCCAAGGTATAGCCCTTGTCTTTATTGTTCCCAGCAGAAAAGATTTGAAAGGGGCAAAGGAATAACTACCTCTCTTTTATGGAGGGTTCCAGGGAGCTGCAATATAACATTTTCATTTATGTTCCGTTGGTTTGTTAAGTCACTTGACCATGGCCAGCTGCCTGAAATATGTAGCTTTTATTTTCGGTGTCATATACTCAGTTAAGAATTTTACCGCATTACTTTTTGGCTACAAGTTGTATTCCTAGGCCATTTAAAAATTCTACATGGTAAAATTATGTTACAGTTCCTCAGCCAGGAATACAAATGACTTTGTCTCTTGTAGCCACGGATGGACCAGTATTTTAATCAGATGGAGAAAATTGTGAAAGAAAGAAAAACCTCATCTAGGATTCGATTCATGCTTCAGGATGTGATAGACCTTAGACTGGTAAGTAGAAAAATAACAAGCAAGCTAATACTCCAGTCCCTTTTAAGGAATTGGGTTGGAGTGGATGTCCTATTATCTACATGTGTAAAAAATTAATGCTTTTGCTATAGGACTTTCAGAACTTGTATTGATGTTAATGGAGAGCTGTATGAAAGAACAAAAGGCACATATACCTGCCTGTTATGTGTTCTTCTCTTTACTCTGATTATCAAGCCCCATTGCAGTTTTGAAATCAGCCATTCTGAATTCAAATTGTGGTCTATTAAATTTAGTCTTAAAATGCTAAACAATCAGGAAGCGTCATCTTCAAAATGAATACATTTAACTTTCCGGAGCCTTAATTTTTAGCCTCTAATATGTGGATGTTGCCTACCTTTCAGATGTTTTGTAAAGTTCAGTAAGACAGTTATGTATAGTGCCTTCCTTATAGGAGATGTTTTCTTCTCTGTTGTTTTTTCTATAGACCTTCCTGTTTTGCTGCTTTTATTTTCTTCATTTCTCATAATGGAAGGAGTTTTTATCACTACCACCTCTTTTCTCTCTCATTTTAACTGCTGCCAGACCAGATAGCATTGGTGGATGGTTCTTTATCTTGCTAAGCCCAGATGTGGCCTCAGAATCCTTCTTATTACCAAAGCCACTGCCATTTGATCAGGATTTGAGTGCTCATTTAAACCTATTTGCCATCCTTGCCTCTAACTAATTTAAAAATGTAAATGTGAATTTTTAAATTAACCATAGGCAAGAATGGCAAATATAAAAACTCCACTCAGTCCTTCGACCACTTACACTTATATCAAATGTGGAGACTATAGGTGAGTAGGGAAGGAAAGGGAGAAATATAATTATAAGGAGACAACTTGTTTTGTGCCTCACAGATAGGATAACCAAAGGACAGAGTGGTGTGTCACTTTATGTAGGTTACCAGAACCATGATATGAAAAAAAAAATGTTAGTCATCCTTGATTTAAAGCTCCCATGGAGTGTGTTATGAACCAAGTAGCAATACCCCAGGTTAAAGCAAGGCCAAAGAATCCTGATCCATCTTTCTTTTTATTTGTTATTATTGAGGGGGTCTTTTTGGCGGAGGGTGCTTTTTAATTCAGAAAGAGAGAGAAAGGAAAGAAAATAAAAATACATTTGTTTAAATAACTACTGCAGAAGAGGAGATCTGGGCTGGATGCTGGGACCTCTCTCTTCCAGAATAGGGATTTATTAATGTTTTAAACAAAACAAAGAGGAACAGAAAATGAAATAAATTATTCTGCTCAATACTGTTTGGCATAGTTCCATTGTTTTTTCATCTTCTAAACACTCAAGACAGCCTCTTCAGGAAGCACTGAGATGAGATGGCCAAGGGAGGCTAGCGCCTTGGCTCTCCAGAGTGGCGGGGGGCCTGGGACGCAGTCCACCCACGGCCAGCCCCAAATCCAGAATCCTGATCTTTCTTGATTCCTCTTCTCTCTCCTCCTTGCAAGTCTACAAAATAATATAAAAATGCATTTAGGCTCATCTTTCACTCTGCCTTTTTATCCACTGGCTGTTGGAATGCTTGGTATAAAGTAGTTCAGGGTTGACTGAGAAAAATTTAATTCTTTAGCTCTAATCCCAGACTGCACATAGTGTCATCTCTAAGACAGATGAAACACTGCTGAAGTGTTTTACACATTTCCAGCAGTGAAAAGTACAAACTAGATTTTCAAATTTTTTAAATTTTTATATATTTTTTAAATTTTATTTTATTGATTATGCTATTAGAGTTGTCCTGATTTCTCCTCTTTTCCCCCTCCCATCCAGTACCGCCCACCCCCTCAGGCCATCCCTCCACCATTGTTCATGTCCATGGGTCATGCGCCTAAGTTCTTTGGCTACTCCATCTCCTATACTGTACCTTCCATCCCCATGGCTATTCTGTAACTACCTATTTGTACTTTGTAATCCCCTCACCTTTCCCCCATCTCCCCCTCCCCACTCCCATCTAGCAAACTTCCGGTTAACTACTTTTTCCTTTTTGCTCATCCTTCCATCCCCTGACTTCCCCTCCCCACAACTAGCTGTCATCTGTTCTCCATCTGTGAGTCTGTCTGTTTTGCTTTTTAGTTCAGTTTGTTCATTAGATTCCACATATGAGCGAAATCATATGGTCTTTGTCTTTCTCTGACTGGCTTATTTCACTTAGCATAATGTTCTCCAAGTTCATCCATAACTGCTGCAAGGGGTAAAATTTTCTTCTTTTATATGGCCGAGTAGAATTCCATTGTGTAAATGTCCCATGGTCATTTTATCTACTCATATATTGATGGACACTTGGGCTACTTCCATATTCATGGCGATTGTAAATAACACTGCAGTGTACATAGGGGCACCTATGTTCTTTCGAAGTAGTGTTTTGTTTATTTTTTTAGTTATGTGGCTGATAACCTTATTTTCTTCCTTTATAGTGTAATTGGGTATCTCGAAGAGCAGATCAAGGGCCTAAAACTATTGAACAGATTCACAAAGAGGCTAAAATAGAAGAACAAGAAGAGCAAAGGAAAGTCCAACAGCTCATGACCAAAGAGAAGAGAAGACCAGGTGAGAGTTGGAGTCCACTGGGTATTTGAGAACTGAAGAGTTTGAGGGACAGATATTATGAATTCTATATTTAGCCCTGACTGGTGTGGCTTAGTGGGTTGAGCGTCAGTCCTGCAAACTGAAAAGTTGCTGATTTGATTCCTGGTCAAGATCCATGCCTGGGTTGGGGGCATGCGAGAGAGGCAACTGATGGATGTTTCTTTCACACATCGGTGTTTCTCTCCCTCTCTTTCTCCCTCCTTTCTCTCTAAAAATAAATAATTTTTTTAAAACAATTCTATATTCAGAGGTTAAATGAAATCAGACAGAATAGTTCAAAGAATAGAGTGGTAATTGGTGCATGAAGTTTCATGTGAGGTTATTGAGTAAAAGCAGAGAATGCAAGATGATGTCTTTGACTATTTCAAAAGTCAGTAAGCATTAAGACTTTATTGAGCATCTTCTGTATACCTAGTACTGATGAAAGTTACAAAAGATGTGGCAGATATGGCTCCTTCCCTTTAAAGCTTTCAATTTATATGGGAAGGCAAAACTAATAAAAGGAACATTTGTCAAGCAAATGGAAGATATTATCAAGCCTGAGATGTATTCTCCATTAAGATCGTTAAAATTCAGAGAAGAGGGGCCATAGATAACTGAAAGAAATTTTTATTTGAGGAAGGGGCACTTGAACTGGGTCTTGATGGATGGTAGACATTTGGAAGGGAAGAAAGAATTTTAGTTATGAAACTAAACATATTATAAAGAGGAATAAACAAACCTGATTGTGAAAAAACTTTATATGTTCAGAATGAATGGGAAAATGTCAGAAAGTAAGTATAAAGCCTGATTAAGAAATTCTGATTTGATTTGGTAGATATTGTAAGTTTTTGAGCACAGGAGTAATGTCATGCTGAAGATATGTAAATAAAATAAATCTATTGCTCTTCACTTGATGAATCAGGGAGTACACCAAACTCAGAAATCTTGCTGTTGCTGAAATCCCATGTGGAAGAAGTTGAGACTCAGTAGCACTAGGAATGAATAAAAAGGAAGAAACAGGAAAATAAATGAAAGATGAATAAAAGGCATTTTACATCTGGGAAAATCCCTGGACTAAGTTTAGGAATATTGGAGGAAGAAACCTTTTTCAGAGGGAAATGATCATATTTCTTTTAAGCCTGCTTATTTGAGATGACAATAGGGCATCCAAATGGGAATGTTGATTTGTCCACTGTGCAGTAAGTCAGCCGGCCAGTGACTGGGTCATGAATACAGAGGTGGAAAGCATAGGCTCTGGAGCCGAACTGTCTAAGTTTGAATTTCGTCTCTGACATCCTAGCTCTATGATCTTGCCCGAAACACTTAATCTGTAAAATGGATCTAATATTAGTACTGAGGATTTGTATGAGGATGAAATGAGGTAGTATATATAACAAGTTCAGTTTAACAACCAGCCAAATAGTAAATACTCAATAACCATTAGCTGTTATTTATCACAGACACAGTAAATCTCATAGTGAAGTTATGAGAGATGAACCCTCCCAGGAAGAAAGTGTACTTTTAAGTTTCATGGGACAGCTCACTTACCTTTCTCACCCTGGTACCTAACACAGTGCCTTTCAAGTAATGACTTTTATTTATTATCAAACTAGATTGAGATAGACAAGATCAAAGCCTAATTCATGGAGGACGCCCACAGTTGACTAAAGGAAGGAAAGAGCTCTTGGAAACGTGACAGATGAAGAAGTGCAGAGGAAGGAGCACTAGGATATAAGTGTCATAGAAACAAGGGAGAAACAAGTCTGCTCATGATCAGTAATATCAGGTTGCACAGAGAAAAGAAGTATGTGACAATCAGAAATGTTTTTGAATAGATAGTTTGATGGCCTTTCCTCATTGATTTAACAAATATTTGAGTACCTTTTGCTTAACAGGAGAAAGTCACTTCCCTTATGCAGCTTTTATCGTACTAAGGCGAAAAGACAATAAACAAATACTTAAGCATAAATATTTGTCAGATAAATTTGTTCTATAGAAAACAATTAAGCAGAGAGGGAAGGAGTGGGGAGGGCAAGGCTTGGTAGGCAGAGATTGCAGTTTTAAATAGGGAAGTTGAGACTGTTGAAGTTAGTATTGTTTGAGCAAAGACTTGAAACAAGTGAAGAAGTCAAGTCATGTATGTGTGTATATAAGTACATGGAAAGAGCTTTTATGGCAAAGGGGAATATAGTATTTTTAATGAAGCTCAGGGTGACCAGTGTGGCTGGATCAATGGCATAGGGAATAGAGTGGGAGAATGTGGGGTCTGAGAGGCAGAGAGCCAGATTATTTAGCCCTTGTAGGCCATTTATAAGGAATCTTTTTCTCTGAGTGAAATGGAGAGATAACAGTGTTTTAAGTAGAGAAGTGCCGCAGGACCCGAGTTGTACTTCACAAGGGTCACACTGGCTGCCATGGTGAAAACAGATAAGGACACAGGGAAGGAATTGAAGAAATTTGTGTACTAATTGAGGAAATGTTTCTGGCTTAAACAGAATTGGTAGTGTAGCTAGTGGTTAGAAGGGGCTAGATGCCGAATATATTGTAAAGGTTGAACTGACAAGATTTCCTGACAAATGGATGCAAAGTATGAGGAAAGAGAAGTCAAGGTTTTTTGCCTGAGAAGCTGAAAGGTTGGGGAAGCAGATTTTGGGCAATGATTGAAGCAGACTGTCTTTTGACACTATTAAGTGAAATAAATGTTGGAATAAATAATTTCCATCTGATTTCTCCCAAAGTGATCTAATTATTAACTCTATGAACACAATCATTAACTCTGTTAACTCTGTTAAAACTAGTTTTGTCCCTCTCTAGCACTCAGTCTCTATTCATTTGTATCAGTTGATTTCTTGAGGTCATTAATGTTTCATGGAAGATCCAATATAAGGAAAGTACGTTTGTTTGATATTTTCATGTTGTGGCTGTTAAAGAGATTGTGAGCAATGCTTTAACAATTTTTGTCTTTATTTCCTTGGTTTTGATTGGAGCCGATGAGCTGATGCTATTGCTCCCTCTTTCACTGTCAGACTGACTTAGGACAGATGAGAGACTGGCTCACTCTTTTCTCCCGGCAGGAGTCCAGAGAATGGATGAAGGTGGGTGGAATACTGTACAAGGGGCCAAGAATAGTCGGGTACTGGACCCCTCAAAATTCCTGAAAATCACTAAGGTGAGTGTTACACTTAAATCCTACAGGTCCTGGCCAGTGTGGCTCAGTCGGTTAGAGCATTGTCCCTTAACCAAAAGGTTGGGGGTTCAGTTTCTTACCAGGGCACATGCCTAGGTTGCAGGTTCAGTCCCCAATCTGGGCATGTACAGGCGGCAATCGTTCCATGCTTCTCTCTCGCATTTATGTTTTTCTCTTTCCCTCCCTCTCCCCCTTTCTCTCCCTGTAAAAGCAATGAAAAAATGTCTCAAGTGAGGATAAAAACGCATACAAAACAACAGCCATAAAACTTGACTCTCCAAATTACTTCTTGCTCATATAAAATAGCTATAATGCAGATTATATGGGGTAGTTTTTATCTATAAGTCAATATTGATCACTGTATTCTTACATACTTATCCTATCATTAGTCCTTTTTATTTCTATGATGGTTTACTGAGGAGGAAGTGACTAGGTTAATTTTTAAAGTTGTGAAATGCTTAATGTAAGAGAGATGATAACAAAGATATTTCAGAAGCCAGTCAATTGCAAGCTTTTATATGGTGTATCCTTAGCATTGGGAAAGAAGCAGCTACCTGTTTAAGTCTAACCATGAAAGAAATTAAAGTTTGTGCCCTAGCTGGTGTGGTTTAGTCCATTGGATGCCGGCCTGCCAGCCAAAGGGTCGCTGGTTCGATTGCCAGTGTTGGGCACATGCCTGGGTCGCAGGCCATGTCCCTAGTAGGGGGCACGCAAGATGCAACCACACATTGATGTTTCTTTCCCTCTCTTTCTTCCTCCCTTCCCTTCTCTAAACATAAAAGAAATAAAGTCTAAAAAAATTTTTTTGAAGAAATTTAGGTTTGCTATGCTCAAGGCCTACTAGAGATTAATATATTCCACTTAATTTCTTCTCTCTTGAGAATCTGTACAGTAAGACGAAAGAATTTTCTCCTGGTAGATATTTTCAACAGAAGTTGATCACGATAAGGAGGGTGAAAAACAAAGAGAGAATAGAATTACATTTTGTAAAAGTGGAAACTTCTATATCCCAGTGGATTTGACAAATTATTTGCATGTCTAGCTTGACCCTTGGTTGTAATACATTTTCTACAGTTCTGAAAATTGGCAACTTGCCAGTAGGATACTACAAACAATCAAAAGCTAATATGAGAATACCAAATGAAAGAAGATAACTGACAAAAAGAAGAAGACTGATAAAATTGAAAGAAGATAGGACATGTCTTTGCATCTTTAGGTTCTGTCAAAGCATTGCTTTAGAACATTACCTCTCTGGATCTCTCTTGACGTCATTTCGCTAAGATCGTATTCTCAAAGATTCTGGTACCTTCTTCTATATGTCTCAGAGCAGGAAATCCATAGCTAAATACAATTTGATTGCTCCACCCACTGTCTTTTTTCTTCCTTTTTAATTTTTTTACTATATTTTATTGATTATTCTAGGTGTCCCAATTTTTCCCCCTTTACCCCCCCCACCCCGCCTCCTCTCCCACTCAGCACCTCCCACTCCCTCAGGCAAGCTGCACACCATTGTTCATGTCCACGGGTCACATGTGTAAGTTCTTTGGCTACTCCATTTCCTATACTGTACTTTACATTCCCATGGCTATTCTATAACTACTTATTTGTACTTGTTAATCCCCTCACCTCCTCACCCATGCGCCCATACCCCCCTCTCCATTTCCATCAAAATGCGGTCCACATCCATGATTCTCTCTGTTCTTCTTGTTTGCTTCGTTTGTTTTTTAGATTCAATTGTTGATAGATAAGGTATTTATCGCCATTCTATTATTCATAGTTTTGATCTTCTTTTTCTTAAATAAGTCCCTTTAACATTTCATGTAATAATGGCTTGGTGATGATGAACTCTTTTATTTTTTTCTTGTCTGGGAAGCTCCTTATCTGCCCTTCTATTCTAAATGATAGCTTTGCTGGGTAGAGCAATCTTGGCTGTAGGTCCCTGCTTTTCATCACTTTGAGTATTTCTTGCCAATCCCTTCTAGCTTACCAAATCTCTTTTGAGAAACCAGCTGACAGTCTTGTGGGAACTCCCCTGTAGGTAACTAACTTCTTTTCTCTTGCTACTTTTAAGATTCTCTCTTTAACCTTTGACATTTTAACTATGATGTGTCTTAGAAGGGACCTCTTTGCATCCATCTTGTTTGGGACTCTGTGCTTCCTAGACTTCCATGTCTATTTCCTTCACTAAATTAGGGAAGTTTTCTTCTATTATTTTTTTCAAATAGACTTCCAATTTCTTGCTCTTTCTCTTTTCCTCTGGCACTCCTATGATGTGAATGTTGGACCTCTTGAAGTTGTTCCAGAGACTGCTTATACTATCCTCATTTTTTTGGATTCTTTTTTCTTCTTCTTGTTCTGATTGGTTGTTTTTTGCTTCTTTATGTTCCAAGCTTCATATACTCTACTGTTGTTTCCCTGTACATTGCTCTTTAGTTCAATTATTGTATCCTTCATTTCTGACTGGATCTTTTTTATGCTGCTGAGATCCTCACTAAGTTCCTTAAGCATCCTTATAATCAGTATTTTGAACTGTGCGTCTGATAGATTATTTATCTCCATTTTGTTTAGTTCTTTTTCTGGAGTTTTGATCTGTTCTTTCATTTGGGAAATGTTTCTTTGCTCATTTTGGCAGCCACCCTGTGTTTGTTTCTACGTATTAGGTTGAGATGCTATGATTCCCTGTCTTGGTAGCAGGGCCTATTGTAGTAGGTGTCCTATAGGGTCCTATAGGGTCCAATGGCACAGCCTTCCATATCACCTAAGCTGGGTACTTAAGGTATGCCCTCTGTGTGGGCTGAGTACACCCTCTAGTAGTTGAGTCTTGATTGCTGTTGGCACATCAATGGGAGGGATTTACCTAGGCCAGGCAGCTGTAAGGGCTAGCTGTGATCACTGACCACCAAATCCTGCATGAGCTACAGAGCAATCTGCAGTTGGCTGCTACTTGTCCTGGGCTTGGAGGTTCCCAGTCAAAGTCAAGCTGTGAACCTAGGCTGGCTGCTACTAGTGTTTGGCCTGGGGCCACTTAGCAAGAGGTACTGGGGCCGGGGCTCCCTGAGACCACCTGTGGCTTGTTTGAGAGAAGTTAGGAAGTTGTAAAGCATAAGCCAAGACTGCCATTCATTTGGAAAACACAGTATTAACAGCTTGGACGGGACCAACTGGGAGATTACCAGGGCAGGGCAAACAGTGTTAGCCAGGTTGAGGGAGTCTTGGGTTGAGGGAGTCTCTGATCTGGCACTCTCCTGCTGGCCGTGTGGCTCTGTAGGGGGAGGGTTCAGAAAAGGGACAGTGGCCTCTGCCCACCTTTCTGTCTGGGAGAAAGCTGTCTCCCAGCTCTCGCCTTGATGCCAGACACTTCAGTTCCTCCCTGTAAGCCTCTGGTGCCTTTCATGCTGCTATCCCAGTGCTAGAGCTCAGAGGGAGTGAGTGTGAGTAAATTCATGTGTGGCTTCTTCAAGAGGAACTGTTTGGCACTCCAGAAGTTTCTTTCAACTGCTCAATCCCTGCTGGTTTTTGTAGCAAAAATATTGTGGTAATTTATCTTCCCAGCGCTGGAGCCCTGGGCTAGGGGGCCTGGTGTGGGGCTGGGACTCCTCACTCCTGAGATATCCCTCCTGAATTTTTATCTACCATGCATGGATGTGGAACATCTCTGCCCCTCTTACCAGTATGGATGGATGCAGTTTCTTTAATTCCACAGTTGTCAGATTTCCATTCAACTCAATTTCTGATGGTTCTGAGTGATGGTTGTTCTATAATGTAGTTGTAATTTTGATGTGGTTGTGTGAAGAGGCGAGCCATGTCTGCCTGGGTCACCATCTTGACCAGAAACCCCCCATCCACTTTCTTTTCCAACAAGAGAGGGTTTTAACCAAGATCTTGTGTTTAAAGAATTCCCCCAACATCAGCCCCTGTATCTTTGAAAGTTTTATCAGTACTTAATAATAATGTTTGTCTGTGTTTTTAAATACTATTTCTGTGAATGGACAGAATAAAAAAGAATAGTGCTGGCATTAAACCTAAAACATTATTTCCTTAATATTTTGAAAAGTATGTAAATTGTTTTTAATTAATTTGTGTATATTCAAATAGGATACTATACTTTACATAAGTATCCTAGAAAAAGTTCAGAACCATTAAATTCATTGTTAACTGGGAGAGATTTGTGTGAAAGCATGTCATGTAGCAAGTACTTTCAGAATACAGTAATATCTTTGTTACAAAGAGCTACATTACAGCTTTTTGTGTTGTATGTGTTTTAATTTGTGTTAAATTATCACTTTATTCACTTGCACTAAAAATGTACATGCAGGGCTAAACCTGAAAGATAACAGAGATCTCAATTCCCTAACATTCTATTCTCATTTTTCTTATTCCCCTTGATTGAAAATTCCCATTCCCACCTCTCCATCCGTAGCCCCAACTCTATTAGGTGTCCCTAAAATGCGATATCTCTGTCCTTTGACATGTTTTCTCACAATCATATGAAGAGATTAATGAGTTAATTTTGAAGTATTTTTGTATTCCTTTTTTCTTTTTTAAATCGCTGGGCATTATAATATAAGAGGAACCATTAGAAATTGCTTATAGTTATCAAACTTGCACACCATCTTATAGGCCCTGAATGCTTTCTCCAGACCGACTGACTACTGGTTTCAAATTGCGTTTTGTGGAAACTGGAATCCAAGGAAGTGCTTCATGGGCCACAGGAATCCCACTTTCACATGAACAGCTCCAATTTATGCTCCTTAAATTGCCATTCCTAGCAAAATTTTGTTGCTAAAATTGGTTTTACTGCGCTGAAAAAGAAAAACTATTCTTCTAGAATATTTCCTAGAATTTACTCTTGTCACTTACGTTACAGCCCACAATCGATGAGAAAATTCAGCTGGTACCTAAAGCACAGCTGGGCAGTTGGGGGAAAGGCAGCAGTGGTGGAGCAAAGGCGAGCGAGACTGGTAAGCAGGGAGGTGCTGGTTGTGGTCCTTCAGCATTCACCTTACAGTGCGTTCCCACAATCATTTAATGATTTTAGGCAAGGACCTGTGGCGTGATTGTGCCCAAACTCACTGGTGGCCCTTTCTGGCATTGTTATTTCCTCCCCAAAAATGATTCTTAGGTATTTAAAAAAAATTTTTTTTTTTTTTTAATTTTAGTAGTTTAGGCTTTTTTAAGACTTTACTCTCTTAGGATATCTTGTTGTTGCTCACAAATTCAGTATAATTACAGAAATTACTGGGACCCCAAATTAAAAGGCAAACTCATTTTACTGAGGAAAAGAATGTTAATACCCAGAGCATTTAATTTCAGGGTGTTGTAAAAAGAATTAGATTAAAATAGTTTTTCAAATATTTTGCCAAAAATCATATTTTGAAAAATGTGACTTTAAGACTGCAATGTTTGGACCATCACATCTTAAAAGCTGAAGAAGCCCTATGGAAAGAATAAAACCTTCATTGTTAACCTTCTTTCCATATTTCCCTTCTACTACATACTTTTGACCTTTTTTTCTTTAAATAAAAAAAACTTATTATTTAAACCCACAAGCATAACTTTACATAGATGAGATCCTGACATATATACCTTTTTTAGGTGAAATACAGTTGACCCTTAAACAACTTGGGGCCTAGGGGTGTCCCACCTCCACCCCATGCAATTGAAAATCCATGTTTAACTTTTGATTCCCCAAAGCATAAGTTGTACCTTGGTAACCACAGAGGGTTGATTCCAGGCCCCCCTGCAGACCCCAAAGTCCTGGATGCTCAAGTTCCCTGTATGAAACGGTCAATGCACATAGCCATTCCTCCACATCCGCAGTCCCCCAGCCGTGGATCAAAAGCGGTACAGGTATTTTTTTAAAAATCTGCGTATGAATGGCCCACACAGTTCATCAAATCTTGTTGTTCAAGGGTCAACTCTTTACTTGTTTTTCCTTGCCTCCATCCTTCTCCTATGAATTACTCTTACCCCCGTGCCATACTTAGAATAATTTAATTACATTTTTAAAGGAGCAAGGAAAATCGTAATGAGTGAAGATTTCTAATTGCATTTTCCCATACAAATTCTTTCTAATTCTCTGCTTCTCAGAATATGACCTGTGGACTAGGAGATTGGCATCACTTTGTTAGACTTGATACAAATGCCTAATCTCAGGCCCCACCCTAGGGAGACAGATGAACTCAAAGTTGCATTTTAGTCACATGATTTGTATTTTTTTCAATCCTCAACACATATAGATGCCTTACGGTCAAGTGCTTCCAGTTTAAACAGATTCTCTGCTTTGCAACCTCCAGCACCCTCAGGGTCTACATCATCCACACCTTTAGAGTTTGATTCCCGGCGGCCTCTAACCAGGTAAGAAGTCTGCTGTCCGTGTTAACACAAGACTCACCTGCTTGTCGCTATGTCTGTCTGTCTGTCTGTCTCTCTCTTTTTGTCTCTCTGTCATACATACACCCCCCCACCCCCGCATCCATCCAAATTAGGATCATAATCCCCATGGATGGATTCCTATCATCTCTAAGGTTGACTTCATTTCTTTTTTTCCCTTTAATCTTCACATTCTGTAATTTGCATGGTAAGAACAAAATTGAGTGGTAGATTTGGGTTGGGGTGGAAAGGCTACATAAGTCAATCTGGCAAATATCTGACGGTTTGCTCCTTAGAGAGCCAGGCTGATTCAAGAAGTCCGGGAGTCTGTGTAGGACTCTCCACACTAACGCCTCAGGATGCTCTAGATTAGTTGAGCAGTCTCAAGCGTGGGGATTAAAGGGTGTGACTGCCTCCCCACACACCTCTCTATTACGCTCTTGTTATATTTGAGATTGTCTTTTATTTTCTACTACTGCGTATCCTACTGTCTTCCTACTTTTGTTTTTGTAGGATCCGTACAGTCAAGTGTTCTGTTGGTTAGTCTCCGGAGAATGGATGAGGAGGACTTGTAGTATAGTGACAGAGAACAAAATTTTTAATATAAGCACCTTTGGAGCTGAAGTTTCTTTTGCTTTCAAACTTTTGTCTTTTACTGTTGTAATGTTTGGTGAGGTAGACTTTCTAAACTCTGTTAATTATTCCCTCAGCATCTGAAACAATATATGCGTAGCACAACTCAACTTTTTAATGATGACCTGGGTTGTCTTTGAGTACCAGAGGTGCTACTGAGGTCTTCATGGCTCTGTGCTCTGCCATCAGTTTCCCCGATGGCTCTGCTTTTTGAGAGTATGTTTTTTCACGGTGGTTAGACTGTTGTTACGCCTCTACCTCTTCCCTCTTCTCTCCCCTTTAACTAAGTTGCTGCTTCTGATCTGCCATGGGTAAGGAACTGTTTGTCCAACTGGTTCGAATTGTCTAAAAGAAGACTAAATAGGGAAATAAGAAGATTCTTTCTTAAAATGAATAAAGTGTGTGACGTTGGCTATTCAAAAATTACTTCTACCTGGTTCTCAAATATTTTCCATGTATTTAGCTCTGTCTGGTGTGGCTTAGTGGCTTGATTGTGAGCCTGCAAACCAAAGGGTCGCTGGTTCAATTCCCAGTCATGGCACAAGCCTGGGTTGCAGGCCAGGTCTCCAGTTGGGAGCATGCGAGAGGCAACGCACACATTGATGTTTCTCTCCCTCTTTTTCTCTCTCCCCTCCCCTCTCTCTAAAAATAAATAAATAAAATCTTTTAAAAATATGTTTTCCATGTACTTGAAGTTTCTGAGTAAATACAGTATGTATTTTCTAAGATAGTAATATGTTCTTTTGGTATTCTGTTTCCCTTTTATTCACTTAGTTCATATATCCATCACTGTCTTAAAAGATTTTTAAAAACTAAATCAAGGAATTGTCATTGTCATAAATTTTTAGGTGGTATCCCTTTAACATTTAAGAGAAAAGTTAAAGCTATCTTACTATTCTCCTTAAAGCGCTGATTTTACTTGTTTTTATAAATAATTACACTTTGAATATAATTTATGCCTCATAATCTAAAGTTTTCTCAAAAATTATTCTGCATACTTGAGAATATCTTAGTATTACTTTATAGTTTAAATACATAGGAGATAGGGGTCTTTCTTTTGAAATGTGTGGTTTTGTCTTTTAGTCGTGGAAGCATGGGCAGGGAGAAGAATGACAAGCCCCTTCCATCTGGAACAGCTCGTCCAAACACTTTCATGAGGGGCAGCAGCAGTAAAGACCTGTTAGACAATCAGTCTCAGGAGGAGCAGCGGAGAGAGATGCTGGAGACTGTGAAACAGCTTACAGGAGGCATGGATGTGGAAAGGAACACTGCTGAGGCTGACCGAAACAAAACCAGGGAGTCAGGTGAGACACTTTATATGAACAAATACAGATGAAGATTTGGGCCTTCAATTTGGAAGGAAAACTATAAAGAAGATTTTTGTCCTTGAGTTGATTTCATGATACTAGCACACTTAGCAACACCTTAAAAGTTAAAAAGCCCCTGGCAGGATGGATCAGTGAATTGAGCATGGTCCCATGCGCCAAAAGGTTGTGGCTTCATTCCCCAGTCAAAACATATACCGAGGTTATGGGTTTGATCCCCTGTCGGGGTACGTGCAAGAGACAACCTATCAATGTTCCTCTCTCTCTCTCTTGCCCACCCTCCCTCCCCTCCCTTCCTCTCTCTCTAAAAATCAATGAACATATCCTCAGGTGAGGATTTTAAAAAAAAAGTTAAAGGGCATCCTCATAGTTTTGTGACACAGTTCTCACTCCCCAGGTATCCCTTTGTGCAGCAATTTGTAAATTTTTTTCTTTCTCTATTAATGTGATGATGGTGGGGTCCTCTTGCTGTATGTTAAGTAATCTGAATTTCTTATACGTTTCCTAAATAACACCTCAGTGTTCATTAGAGTGTGAATGTATGCTTTTGTAGAGCCCCTCAAATGTATGGAAATTCTGACACTGAACCATTGTGAGGCAAACCAAAGAGAGTACCAGACTGTCTCTTGTTACCTTCATCTTCTTTGGTAACCTCTGTGGCTTTTGTACATGTTTAGCATGTATATGTGGGGATAACAAGTGTGGGGTTATTATGAATATTAAATGAGAAGTCAACATATGTAACTACTTAGAATGTTACCCTGATATATACAAAGTTTTCAAAGGTACTAGAAGTCATGTTAATGAAGGTGATGAAAATAGTTTAAAGATAATTTTTACCATCTTGTAACTCTTAGTCCTGAGGTAATAGTGGTTGTTTATAACATCTTTATAACTTTCAATTTGTTTTACTATTTAAATTTGTGTCTTCTAACTGGCGTCTCTAAATGGATTTCAGAAGCAAGTTGAAGTGTCTTTTCCCAACTGATACACAGACTTGAGATCCTTCAGCTTTACGAATATGTAGCTTTCTTATCTGTGTTAGATATTTGGGGAACATAATAAAATAGGGCATGAAAATAACCTGAGTAGTGAATAATGTAGCACAGCTGCCCTGTGCCTGTTTATTGTCTCAGTCATTTATCCATTCACCACTTGCACACTGAGCAGCTAGTGACTTTTGGGCACTCGTTCCCTGCACTCAGCCTTCAGTCTGCTGGATCAGGAAGAACTTTATCAAATAATTCCACAAAATACTATATATAAGTACAAACTGAGGAAAATGCTCTGAGGGAAAGGAACATAGTTCTAAGGGAGTACTTAACACGGGAACTACCTAGAATTGACACAGAAAGATATCAGGGAAGGCTTCCCTAAGTTCTGAAGGACCAATAGGAGTTAAAAGAGGTTTGTAAAGAGGGACAGTATGGAACAGAGAAAGAACATTCCACATGAGGAGTACCATGAGCACGGTCATAATAAGCGGAACCGTGCCATGTTTGAGCAATTGCCAAGGGCCGGTGCAGCTAGAGCTCTGTACACAGCTGTGCAGGCCTCATGGTTTTTTTCATCATTGAAGCAGTGGGGAGGAGTCAGAGTACAGAAATGGACAAAAAGCTTTAATTACAAAAGTTTATTATATTCCTATACCCTCTTAATTGTTGTGGATCATGAAGTTACTTTGCATTTATCTATTTTAAAATGAACATTACTGTATTCTGCTTTTAGTTGTCTTGCTTTGTCAGATTTGTCTATTTTTAATGCTTTTACCAGAAAAAAAAGTGACATAACAACGTGAACATTATCAACCATGATCCCACCATTTTAATGATAATTTTTGTCATTTTTACTTTCTCACTCTTTTTTAAACCTCACTAGTAGTAAAATCAGAAATTCCAACGACGTCAGCCTCTGACAAGCCTTCATTGTCAGAAGAGGAAATGGAGAGGAAGTCCAGATCTATCATTGATGAATTTCTACACATTAATGATTTTAAGGTAAATCAATTAAAAAACAACAACAACAACAGAGTAAGCCCTGTGACAGACATAGTAACTTGATTCTGGTCTAAATCAGTTGTCATCGTGAACTGATTGACTTAGAGTACGTGATCCAAGTCCAACACAGTTCAGTTTGCACAACCCTGATACATTTCTGCCAGGTACTCTCTTTTAAATTGACACTATAGATCCAAGATCAAGTGGCAAGAAGCAGGAATGGGTACCTATCCATCCCCACTATAAGGTAACCATATTGACTTTGGTATTTATTAATGAACAAAAACAACATACCTCATGATTTTCACAGTCAGTTTGTCACCATTCTTATATAACTTTACAGTGTGTCTGACATTACCTTTTCTTTATTTCTTATGTAGAAAACTAAGGCACAGAGGAGTAAGCAGTATGCCCGGGTCAGACAGCCTGAGTGACTCATTTCAAGTCATTGCTTTGCATTTGCCCTTCTTTAACCCTGACCGCCTCTTTGATCTTCATTTTAAGATGGCAGTGAAAATGAGAGGGATTTTACCTGACTTCATGTAGGCTAGGGGCAGAGACTGACTATAAATAGTTAACTCCACAAATACATATTTAAATTGTAGTAATATTTAGGATCTTAGGAGACCAAATAGGACCTAATTTAGGGATCTGGAGTTAAGCAAAGGCTTGTTTAAAATATTTGTCAGATATATGAAGTACTTTTGCTTTGATATATATAGTTAATTCTTTCAGGCTTTCTTGCTCTCTTGACAACCTAGTTATTATCTGCTTTCCATGTAAAAAATCATCTTGGTTTGCTATAGTCCAGCCTTCTAAAAAGCTCAAGTTCTAAAATTGTCCAAGTTCAGAAGTAGGAAAATGTTTGATGATAAGCAAATTGGAGAGGAGTACTTTGCAGAAGCCCTTGAAAACACAGCAAAAATAAATGAACATTAACAGAAAAATGCCAAACAATATGGTTTATGTACTGTGATTTGTTAGTTAGAGTCTTAGAAAGTGAGAAATATTCTTATAAACTAGCAGCACAGCTTTTTCTTGCTTGGAAGTAGAGTATGAAAGACACAAGAAAGAGGAAGGACTAAGAAAGGTGAAGAGCAGAGACAATAAGAAAGAAAGCAGTGGAGAATGGCTTTAGAAGTAATTTGAAGGGTATACAAAGTAGCAACAGGAACTTTGAAAAAGGACATATATGACTGTGATGAGCTCCAGATACAGGGAAAGGCCTGGGTAACACTTAAGTGGAACAGGAGGACCCTTTGAAGCATTATTAGTCCTAGATCAGGCCTACAGTATGGGAGGGACAGTCACTTATGACCCAGGAATTTCATTTTGTAATGTACAAAACAGCTCCGCTGCATAGTGGCAATAAGGACCAGGTAATAATGTCATAGTGAGGTCTTACTGTGTGCTAGGTGCTATTAAACATATTTTATATGTTATTAATTTATCTAATCTTCATAACACTTCCTGGTGTTAATATTATGGTATTTTTATAGATAAGGGAGCTGAGAAGCAAAGGTGTAAAGTAACTTGCTCTAGGTTATAGTACTGATAAGTGGCAGACTTGGTATTCAGAGCCAGCCTCATAGCTTTAGAGCATCAACTATACTTTATTTTAGTACATTTAGGGTATTGGTGTGTCACACTAAAGGCTTACAGAGCCCATCCTAAGAAAGAGTTTTTTTCCCCTAACATCATCTGTTATTATTAACAGTAATACAAATTATTATTTATTGAGCCTTGCTTTATCCTTGGTAGTGTTTCAAGTGCTTTTATATACATTTTATATTCAGTCCTCACAGTAATCCTATACTAGGAAGTTAAGGCTGAGAGATAAAATTATGCTCCTAAGCTCACACATTAATGACAGAGCCAGCATGGAAACCTACATCTGTCTGACACCACGGCCTGTGTTTTTAGCCTCTTTATTGAGTACCTAACACATGTCGGCCACATTTTAGGGACTACTGCCTGGGTATACTCTAGTGTCTGTAGTGAGCAACCTGCTCTGTTTCTATGGGTCTGTTAATAGGAAATACAGGCAGAACTGCCCTAAAGATAGGTGATAAATAAACAAATAAATAACTACCAAAAAGATTATGTTTAAATGCAGAGAAGTAAAATTAGGTGATATGAGAGCCAGTGGATGGGCAGCCACAGAGACTGTAGGTGTGATTTCAGCTGGAGAGCCCAAAAACGAGAAAAATCAAACCCTGAGAAAATCAGGGAGAAAGGCAAGATTATGAACTGCTGTGACATTAGAAGCATTATGATATGTAGATTCAGTGAATAAATTCCCACTGGAAGACATTTAATCACTTCAGGTTAAATACTGAAGATTGAACACTTGAATTCCTTTCCACTTCCTCCTGAAAAGGCATTATAATGATGATGATGCTATTAAAGTGAGGCAGAACCCCACAAGAATAAGAAGTATGGGGAATAGATAGCAGCAACATTCTGGAAGTTAGAAATTAGAAGGATGAATGGTAATTTATTTAGAAGACCACAAATGTGCATGAGATGTATCTGGAGCTGGAAACAGAAGGTTTATTGGTTAAAAGCATCTGTAAGAAACAGTTTTACATGACAACTGACCTGAATGTTTCAAAAATGCCAGTGTCATAAAAGGACAAAAGAGAGGGAAAAGACCGATACAGATTAAAGGAGTTGAAAGAGACATCATGACATGTGATGTCGGGTTTTTAATTGGGTCCTAGAACAACAAAAAGCTATATTGGGGCACTTGGGAACAGTTGTGGAATTTTGAATATGTACTATATGTCAGAGAATGTTTTTATTGACATTACTGTATGAATGTTAAATTTCTTATATAGAGAGGAATAAAACTAAAAATAGATGAATCTCAATTGAAAGGAAGATATATAGGTGTACATTGTACTACTCTTTAAGTTCTCTGTGGTTTGAAGTTTTTCATGGAAAAAAGTTAATGTGGGGGAGGTATTAAATGAAGTAGGCAGAGGGTCAATAAAGCAGCAATGAGAACCCAGACATAGGCCTTACCTCCTCCTTCAGTTGGGAGGCTGCCTTCTCACACGCATCTTCCCCCTCAGAAAAGCCAGTCTCTTTAGAAGTGAAACCAAAGGATTTTATACTCAAAGTTGAGACAGGTAAGAACAGCGGGCTCGCTACAGCGCTAGTGGTTCAGCTCCTCCACGCCGAAGACAGTGGACCTAACCAAATCACCCCATAGTGAGAAACACTAAACAAGCCCCTCACCCCAGGAACTTCATAGTTCTCAGTACTTAAGCTAACCGAACTAGCTTTCCTGTGAAAGAAGACCTGTCTCATTGAAGATTTTGCAAATATTAACATACCCGAACAGAATTACCTCAGTAGCCATTTTAAGTAAGGCCTTTGAATTATGACGTTGACTTTCCATTTCATAATGTACCATTTTCCGTTTTTTAAATGATCATAAAATAGGCAAATATTGTGTAGCAAAATACATTTTTGACTCTGGTCCTTTGATCTTTAATAAAATCATTAACCTAAACACATTTGGTTTATAAAGACCCAGATCTTTTGTTTTTAAATATGACTAATATCACCCATATTTGCCTGCATTTCACTGAGCTCTATTAATGTCTTAAAAATTGTATGTGAAAATTGTCTTGTTTGCAGAGCTTTCTGCTGAGTTCGTCATAAGTAAGAGATTTTACATTTAACACTCTGGTAATGCTATCCAGATTCTGGGGTAAGTTTGTCTTTGCTATTCGAACAGGAAGCCATGCAATGTGTGGAGGAGCTGAATGCCCAGGGCCCACTACATGTGTTTGTGAGAGTGGGAGTTGAGTCCACGCTGGAAAGGAGCCAGATCACCAGGGATCACATGGGCCAATTACTGTATCAGCTGGTACAGTCAGAGAAACTCAGCAAACATGACTTTTTCAAAGGGTCAGTATCCTCCTCAAGAGTGGTATTTATGAGGTTCTTGAGTAGTACTTCATTAAAAGTATATGTCTATTTTTACGTTTTTAGCTTTTATAATAGATTGAAATTGTGTCCCCTATAATATGTTGATGTGTAACATTGATAATGTTAGTTGGTATGATGATATTTGTAGACTGTGCTAGGTCATAAAGGTTATTATCATCTGTTTCTTAATTTCTTATTGTTAGACCTGCATTATGATGTAAGGTAGCAGAGACCCCTTGACCTTGGGGGAAACTAAGGCTTCATCAGAGTATTTACATGTAAACCCTTGGATAGTCTTTCAGGAAAAAAACTTTTCTGTGTGAAAAAAATATTTTGAAAAATGGACTTAAACCTGAAAGCTTTAAATTTTTCAAAAAACCATGGTTATTTTGGCCAGGAAATGCTTGTCTGTCCATGTTAGTGCCATAGAACATTTTGTAATTCCAAGTCGCCAGTGAGTTATTCTATTCCAGGTTGGTTTTGTTGTGGTTTCTATAGATGGCCTGTGTGATGAAGCCTGGCTGTCACTGGGGTTGGATCCTCATTTGATGAGATTCTGGTCTCTTTGTGAGACGCGGTCATTACAGGTGCATGGATTAGGTTCTTTGTGGTACAGCCACAGAATCCTACCTGGGCTTAGGTTCTGAAATCAATGTTTAAAGCTAAAACTGCATGGCAAAAAATTTTGTCTTAGGAGCCATGTTGTGCACTGTAAACATACAGTCACAGTCATCACTGCGAGTGCTTACTCTCTAAGGGGACAGGAACTAAAACCCCCTGGGGGCTGAACATCAGATTCGCATCTCCTATCTCATACCACTCAGGGCACGTGCTCATTAAGTGGAGAGGCAGTAAGAATTCTGCACTATTTAAGTTATTTTTCTCCTTATAAATTTCTCCTTAAAAAAATCTCCTTTTTGCCAAGCTCACGTTGTATTCTTATACATTAAATGTGCATGTGATAAAATGCCACTGTATATCTTTCAGAAATGGTCAACTTCTTAGAATAACATAACCATTAAATGCCAAAGTTGAATGTGCTTAGGAATAATTACTCATTTGATTTTGTGACAAAAGATGGCATTGTCTCCAAGGTTCTGGAAAATGTGTATTTACCCTTAGGATCATTAAAAAGTTGTATTTCAACAGTGAGCTAGATTTCTCTGAATTCAGTGACTGGCTATACTGAGGCCGTATGACCCAGTTAACTTTATAAGAAATTTTGGCAAAAGTTGCCGTGATTGTTGGCCTTTAAAGTCAGGATGGTTTCCCAGTTTTAAAAGAAAAATATGTTCACTCCAATAACCAGCCAGGATAAACAGTAAGTATAATAAGGGGATCCATACCCACACAAACAAACTGAGGTCTGCCCCTAGCCAACCTGCAACTATAACTTCAAGCCCCTAGAAACTACATTTGCAGTAACTATTGTATTAGTTTATAACTCACTTGCTTTTTACCTAGGTGTTATGATATATTCACCAGAAAAGTTTGGAAATGAGAATTTCTTTAAACTATATTCAGAAGTTATTTCATATCTGGAAAAACCCCAAGAAGTATAGTCTAGCTTCACCAGCTTCAGTTGAACTTGGGTGGTGCTAGCTTGGTTTCTAGGCTATCTCAACCATTTGCATTTCCCTTCCTAGGTTCCCTTGAGGAGAACGTGTCATCAGTCATGGTGTCCACATTTTCCTTGTTACTGTTGGTGGTGGAGGTGGTGGTGCTGCTGCTGCTGCTGTTGCTGGCAATACTACCACAACCACTACCTTTCATTTAGACCAAAATGAGGATAACACATCTGTGTCTCAGTAACTACTTCCTCTTTCTCTATTTTTACTTCCTTCTGCAGCTAGAGATAATGCAGTGGCTCCAGACCTACCTTTTAATACTAAATTAGACCTAACCAGATGATCCTTAGACCAGGGCCCCTATGAAAACCCCATTCCTCCCTAAATGGAGAGGCCTGGCAGTTTTTTCTAAGATAGAAACAAACTGATAGTTTAATGTCATCATCCACAAAGAGGCTTCTTGCAAATAGATCAGTTTCCCAATTACTTAAAAAGCCCAAGTTATAAATAGTTTGTACTGTCCAGAGAGGCCAGTTCACTGGAGCCATGGAAATGCCCTGAGTCTTCTATCTCTTTGGCTTCCATGTGCAAAGGTTTCTGTTTTTACACAGCATCGTGGGAGAACATCTAAGGTTAGCTTACTCAGACGCTGCTACTGTTTAAATGCCAACTTTTGAGCAGTCACTGAAGCAGTGATTCTGGGAGACATAGAAAGTAGATGGCCTCCAAGTTTACTGGACCCTGATCAGCCAGCTAATCCTCCATTTCTCCTACAGCTCCTTAATATTTAAGACATGTAGTGCTACTGTATATTAAGTTAGATTAGACAGAAGCCTCAAACGGGCTCTTTGTGTCAGGGTATTTATAAATGTTAGATCCTTTGGGATTTTCCTTACGAGGTGCTGTATCAACTCTAAGCATGCAGTTGCCATATATAAAAGCATATCACCACAAAGGCAACATCAAGCCATCCTCTTAGAGTTTCAGTACTTGAATCTAAATGCTTTATGACATAATTTAGGTGGGTAGGTAGATGCATTTCAAGTAGTGCTGATAGAGTCATTTTATATCATGGCTTCAGAAGACTTCTTTTTTAAAACTGTCTAGTAAAGGTAGTTGAGTACAATTCACTATTAGCCATGGAATTGGAATCACTTTGAAAGTGTGATAAATAAATGAAATCCAGGGTAGCAAAAATTGGAGTTGACAGTAAACACAAAATAGGTGTCCTTCAGGAGACTTGCTATATTAGTATTTCATTTTGAGAAATACTTGTTGGAGAGGAAATTCTTAGCTCCTTCTTGACTACTTTTTGGAACTTTTCTTGCCACTCTGGCAATTCTACCTTGGTAAAAAAAAGATACAGTTCAGAGCTTACACAGACATGCAGACTAAATTTCAAATGCAGAATTGTAGAGATGCTAGTTAACAGTGAAAACCCTATTTGCTCACATAGGTAGGTAGGCTGTAGTTCGAATAGTCTTTGTTGTAGTAATTCTTTGAAGATGGTACTGCAATATAAGAGGGCTTTTCATCTTCTTTTATTTCTCTCTTTTATCTGTAATTAGATTCTTGAAATTATTTACAATAATACTCGATCAATTTGATTTTTAGATGTCTTTACTATCTCTTCCTTGTTTATCTGCAGCCAAATTTCCATTTTTATTTCATTGACATAATGCAAATTGTGGAAGATGCTGCTGACAATACCATTTCCACCTGTGTTAGGTTATTTGCCTTTTTAGCAGATTTCCGATCAGACCATCAGTGAATTTTTTAAATTCCAGCTTTTAACCATATATTCGTTTCTTTAATTAAATTTTAGGCAGGAACTCAGTATATAAAGTAAATAAAAATAGATCTCCTGCAGTCGAAACGGGGGGAGAATGCCTGAAGTCCCAACTGTGAACCCTGCCAAAGTGTGGTCCAGTAGGTGTCATAGCCACTGCATAGCAAGCAGCAAGGCCGTGGCATAGCTCTAGTTCATTCATTCAGCCAGCAGAAAATGTGTGTCGTGCAAGGTATTGTTACAGGCTATGTAGTGTAGTAGTCCAAAGACTACGCTGTGTGTAGGAGCTTCTACACACCTAGGATTTTTCTTCTAAAATCATGCAAAAGGATTTAGGAACTTTAAAACTGAAAACAAACGTGTCTTATCAGGCTTGTCTTATGGAAACCCTATGTTCAGCCAAATACGTTTTTTCTTTCTTTTTTTTTTTTTTTAATCAGCAGTATGGATTTGACAGTGATCGTGTTTTACAAATGGTCCCACGACTAACGGAGAAGTAGAAAGCCAAGGCAAGAATATGGATATCTTTTCGTTGTAATAGGAGATGAAAATGGCAGTAGATATACTGCTGAAGGACCAGGGTGGCTGCAGTTATTGTCTCATGGGCTCATTAAACAGCTTCATCTATGCCACTAACCCAGGGAACATGAATGGGCATTATAGGGTGATTAACCCAGAAATCCTGGAGTCCATCCAGCTTATGGTCCATTAGTAGCACATTAACTGGGCTGAAAGTCTCCACATAATGAGAGAATAGTCAAGTATCTGTTGTATTGCAAACAGATGACAAATAATTGCAAGCTGGAAGGTCAGAAAGTTGGCATTAGGAATTCATGAAGCCCAGAGTCGGATAATGTGGCTAATCTGCAAACTGTTTTGAAATGGCTCCTTCAGAAAGCTTACTCTGCCTTCTAGTGGTACCTTTTTTTTTTTAAGTGAAAAATTTTAATGACATGTAGACTTCTGAGATAGGTAAAAAAAAAAGTGATAAACTCTGAGTAGAAACCAGAACTGCAGTGAAAAAGCACACGTTTTATGTGTGCAGAGACCTGAAAGGACATGAAGACACAAAGACCATCTGCCCATGGCCCCTTCGTTCATTCGTTCCTTTTCTCATGATTATGTGTACTTCCTTGTAATTATGTATGTGACTCCTGTAGGTAATTTACTTTTGGTTTTGTACTTTTTAATATGCTGTATGTAGGACAAATTAACAGTCTTGAATTGTTTTTATACTTCTAAATGAATAGCTATGCTGTTGAGCCTAAGTAAAATTGCACTGATATTTTGTATTTGACTTTCACAAGTATTATATTCAAATCTCATTTATTTCACTTCATATTGAGAAATATTTCATAGCATGAGAGCTTGAAACCGTCAACGTATCTTTGAAGATACAACAGTTGGTAGCACGCCATAATGACGATGTTGTTAGTAAAGTTGTCGAATTCTTTTATATCCATCCATTCCTCCGCCCCCCCCCTCCCCCTCGCATTGTAAGCTCCTCAAGGACAAGGATTTTTGCCTTTTCTTCTCTGTGTCTGGTCTGCACAGCCCTAGGTTTTTAGTCAGTGCTTCTGGCTAACTCAAAGGATATAATACTCAACTGTAATGAGCTCTTTATAATGTGGGATTAAACTGATAGCTATTCCCCCAGAATTTCACATGGTTCCCTCATTTTCATCATTTGAATCTTTCAAATGTCACCTCTCTACAGAGGTATTTTATGATGCCATCTGTACTGGGGTATCCTAGTACTATAGCTCCATGCTCTTCAGAGTATTGGCCCTGGGTGCAAGGATGTTTTTGTTTGTGCTCTTCTCTCTCTCCCCACACTGAGGTAAGATCTTTGAGAGCAAGAACCAGTTACTTCATGCCTAGAACAGTATCTAACACAGCAAGTGCTTAATAGGTGTTTCTTTACCGACTGATTTTTGGTCTTTTTATTTAATCTTAACTTTTGAATTATATCTGCATGCGAATTTTTTCCTGTTCTTTTTTAGTTTTTCAGAAACATTGGAATTGGCAGATGACATGGCCATTGATATTCCCCATATTTGGTTGTACCTTGCTGAGCTGGTGACTCCCATGCTGAAAGAAGGCGGAATCTCCATGAGAGAACTTATCATGTAAGTTGTTCTTGTTTCTTTTGATGTATATCAAATTAAACTAACGTAAAACTCACCAGCGGGCCTTCTAGCATAGTGCTGTTCCCTTGGTGCAGTGATGGTCGACCTTTTTCATCCCATGGCACACAGAAACAATTACTAAAATTCTGCAGCGCACCAGAAAATACATTGTTTGCTTTTCTGATAAAAATAGATAGAATTTTTATTCTTTCATCCTGGACAGCTATTGTTGTGTTGGCTGTTTCATTTTTTTATTTGACATTGTGAGAGAAAGAAGGTCAGTGCCTCTGACCTAGTAGTTGGGTATTGCATGTTTTAAAAATTCTCGCAGCACACCAGTTGAAAACCGTTGCCCTAGTGCCTTTGGGGACTATTAGATGCACCTGTGACTCTTTAAGACTTCTAATTTTAATATAAAAATACCTTTACTGCAGAAGTGATGGGGATATAATAGCTGTGTGGTCCATTGAGGTTAGCAATGATTATAGATTTGGCTCCAAAATCATGCAGCTAACTAGAAGGTGATTTTGCTCCTGGAAACTTAATGCTGGCCTGACTTTTATGTCTATCATTGCTCTAGCGTTGTGACACCTTACCAGACTGTGACACCTGTATAGTACGTGCTCAGTTGTAATTAAAGGAACTGAGGTTTCAGGCATTCCTAAATTTGAACATGAGTAGAAAATTATTGCCACATTGTATAGACTAGTATTTCCCAAGAAATTATTCATATAGACAAACTGCACACTGCTGTGTCCCTTTTCTTTGACATTCACAGAATAAATTATAGCACAGTCAAGATTATGAGAATCCTATAAATAAAATGCAAAACGTAAAACGGTTGAAATTTGTGTAATTGACATTGCCTCACTCAGTTGATTGTACAATCTTTTTTTTAGGAATGATTATTGATACCCTGTAGAACATAGTTTGAGAAATACTGATTTAGGCTATGAAAAAATAGGTCCCTTTCTGTTCTAGCCGTATTCTAAAAAAAAGCGGGGGGGGGGGTTCCTTTCTTAAAAACAGTTAATAACTAAGCTTCACACCTTTCTGTTACCTAAGGTGCTTTTCTCCTTTCAGCTTAAAGTGGGGTTTCTGCGAATAGATTATTAAGTGAGTCTGGTCCTAGCAACTGCGTCTGTTACTGAAGTAGTTAAAGAAAAAGGCAAAAATCAGGAGTTCTAAAGCCCCTTTCCAGCTTCTCCATGAAGCATAAAATGAACCTGAAGTCTTCTGTTGAAAATTACTGCAAGTTGTACTGGATTTGGCTTGCCCAGTATTATTTAGGTTGTACAGTCTCTGTTCTTTTGGCTCACATTGTTTGCCTACTGTTCTAGAACAGAGAGTTTATTCTGAGGTACTTAATCACTACTCCTGTCTTTCACAGAGAATTTTGCAAACCTTTACTTCCTGTTGGAAGAGCTGGGGTCTTGCTTTCTGAAATATTGCACCTTCTATGCAAACAAATGGTGAGTGTTAAAGTGAGTGTCCAACTCAACAGCAGATTTTGACTTTGGGTTATTTGTAAAGAGCTTAGATATCACTGTGCAAGTAATTGTTTCCTTTTATTCTTTGAAAAAAAGAGTGAGGTCTCTGTTTAACTCTAGTTTCTTCCGGGGCATATTTGTCTTTCTGTTCACTAGTAACTTGAAAAAGAATAAACTAATCTCAACTAGATTTGATATAACTCTTAAAAACTTCAAGATATGTTTTATTTGTAGGTAGTAATTTTATCTTTTCTTGAAATAAAATGGCTGCATTATTTATACTTTTTAATTGATTTAAATGAAAACTCCACCTCTTTCAGAGAAAGACAGGATTCGTAAAATGATTAATTTTATTATTTTTGGATCATGGGCTAGGTAATCCAATTATAAACAGGTGGTAAAAATGATCCTGCAAGGTTGTGAATTTCTATCATAAAATTAAATTTATTTTAGTTTAATCAATACTACATAATTCTCTGTGAAGTTCTATGCTAGGATCTCAGTCTACAAAAATAACTAAACCTTAAAAGAATTTATAAACTCGAGAGGGAGACAGACAACTCTAAACCCATAGTTTCAAAGGAGTGTGGCAGGTGCTGTATTAGAGGTCTAAGAGGTTTGGTTTGGGAAAGGGGTGTACAGTCACAAAGGTGACGTAACACCTGGGGCCAAAGATGTCAAAACAAAACAGAACTCAGGATGAAAATTCTGGAGTGATTTCTGACTTACTCAAATCAAAGCAAAAAATACTGATATGTTAGATCTCATTATTTTATAGGCATTGATTTTAAAAATTCAGCATTTTATTCATCATTCTAAATCTGCAGAAATCCTTCTGTATCACATTTGTGTAGCAGTTACTCACAGATAGGTATACAAAATAGCCTGGACTCTAGTTCTAATTGATTATCTCTCTGTCATTAGTACTCTTTGTTTGCTAACACTAAAATTTTTATTGAACCTTAATTTGCAGATCCAAAATTCTCCTCTTCTCTCTTACTTGACTTTAGTCTTTATTTAAAATTCAAATTCTTGTTAACTTTTACTCGTAAAAGCGAAAGTGAAATTCTCATAGAACATAAACTCTGCAGTTAGACAGCCTGAGTTTAAATCCTGGCTTTACCAAGTTACCAGCTATGCCTTGGGCAGGTTACTCTATGAAATAAGTAGTATATATTCCATCAATGACAGCTGCAGCCTCAAACCCTGACATTTTCATTTATTGCTATGACTTTATTCAAACAGTGGGCTTGCCCCTCCACTGACAGTAGCTCTTCTCTATTTATTGGGTTCAACCTGTGCTTTTTTTCCCCTTCAAATATTTCTCATTCCAGATTCAGGAGCAACAACTCTTCTTAGCCATTCTTGTGTTAGCATACTGGTGATCTCCTATGAAGAGGAATGCCAGTGAGGCTTGTTGAATAGCTTTCATAGCAGATGCATATAATGCTGTCTGGGGAAAGAGACAGTGTTGAATTTGTAAACTCAGTGCGTTGGTCTCTTTTTAGGTGATTGCATTAATAAATTCTAGGTACCGGCTTGCAGATCTCCAGATTAGCCATCCAGTAAAAGGAATTATTAAGCCTTAAACAACTATACTTCAACCATTCACCATTATATTTACATATATTCAGACATCTCGGTTTCAATGCTAAGAGTCCTAAGAAATTAATTTCATATCAGCAGGAAAAGGGGTTTTTTTGTTTTGTTTTGTTTTGTTTTGTTTTGCAGATTTTTCAGTCTTAAAGTTCAACAATCTGTTTTTTCTCTTGCCAATGTAAAAGTAAATGGATTTTGACTTATCTCTGTTTCAGAGCCATAAGAAAGTGGGAGCCTTATGGAGGGAGGCTGACCTCAGCTGGAAGGACTTTTTACCAGAAGGGGAAGATGTACATAATTTTCTCTTGCAGCAGGTATGTAAGAACAAGACTTATCCCTTCCTGTTTGACAGCACATATTTTTAGTCCACAGTTGGGAATATGTGGATGTGGAGTACCAATTTAATTTATATACACATTTTTGACTGCACAGGTGATTGGTACCCCCAACCTCTCTGTTCTTCAAAGGTCAGCTATTAGGTTTATATTATAGAAGAAATGAAGATAATTTCATTCTAATCATTCTAATGATTAGAATTAGATAATATTCTAATCATTAAAATTAGACCAAAATAGGAGTCATGGTCAATATGTCACTTTAAGTCCACTTCAACTATGCACTCATTAGCTAAAAATAAAATTTAAAAGACTTAGTCACACGTAGAAAAAAAGCAAGATGAAGGGGCCGGGCGGAGGAAGGCAAAGGGGAAAAAATTGGGAAAACTGTAGTAACATAAACAGTAAAATACAATTTAAATAAATAAATACACCTTAAAAAAAAAAAAAAAGCTATATATCTCCATGAACAAGAAATGAAATTCATAAATAAAGCACAGGTGGTGATAGGGCTAAAGCCGCAAGTTGTCCAAGCTCTGGATTTGAAAGCAGGTAGAGACAATCAGAGTCATTTCTGTGGGTTAACAGGTGCTCGAGTGCCCTTTTACACAGTAGAGGATTACGGGGCAGGCTTATTACATAAAGCGTAAATACCACAAATAAAAAAGTGAAAGGAAGTAGACATAGTCCTATAGCCAGAAACTGCTCTAGGCTGCCTACTGTCTGGGTCTTGAAATCCAGAAGGCAGAAGACCCAGTGGGCAATATAATCGGGTGCTAAACCAAAGATTGCGAAGGTCAGGTGGAGACTACCATAAAACTATTAGACCAAAAAGAGTGAGAAAGAAAAACCTCTCTCAAAGTGATCCTGTAAATTAAAATCTTAAAACATTTAGAAAATTAAAGCTAAGACCGCCAAAAAAATCATCAAAAAGGAGAAAAAAGTCACTCTTAGGTAAAAAGAAAGCAATTTGAACATAGTTTCAAAGTAAGTATACTATGTTGGATAAAGTTACTATGGATTTTAGCTTCCTTTTGATTGGTTGTAGTCTAGATATACTACTGGGAGCACTCCTGAGACAAGAATAAGAACCTGTGTAAAGCATAATTTATCTTGCATTGCTGGGCTTATAGAAAGTGGGAGCAATTTCCAAGGAACAAAAGAATGAGGGGACCCCAGGCCAGGTAACTCAGTTGGTTAGAGCATCATTCCAGTATGCCAAGGTTGTGGGTTTGATCCCCTGTCAGGGCACATACAAAAACCAACCAATGGATGCATACATAAATGGAACAACAAATTGATGTTTCTCTCATTGTCCCTTCCTCTTTCTCTAAAATCAATTTTTAAAAAAAATTTTTTTAAATAAGGAGGGAAATAGCCAGAGATGAAATCTGAACTCTGAACCATAACCACATGTGAAGGGCATGCTGCTAATGCCATTATAAGTGCTTCCAGATATCTTGAAAGAGGTTGAAATGATCCCAAGTCCAATATTATCCTGGCTCCAAGAAGTGAACTAAAATGCACTTTGCAAAAACATCCTCAGCTTAGGTCTCCTGATTTTCTACAAATTAACATTATCTAAATGTATGAGTTAACACTTAGAGTTCATGTAACATATAATAAAATAAGTAACCATGAGTGGAAGTAAATAGACAACAAATGCTAGATTTAGACCAAAGATAATGGCATTATTACTCAAAATATAAAATAACACTTTTAAAAAAAAGGGAATCACAAAAATGAGCCAACTTCAAGAAGAGACTAGTCAAAATAACCGGGCAAATTTTTAAAAGAAGAAGAAACTAGATACTAGATAGATTTATAGGAGATGTTAATGAGATTTAGGGGACAAATAAGAAAGTCTAATGTGTGTCTAGTTGGAATCCCAGAAGGAAAAATAGAATGATTCATGAAGAGAAAATATTTGAGAGACTATGGCTGACACTTTTCCAGAACCGGTGAAATATATGAATCTATGTAGAAAGCACATGTGTACCACACAGAAAAATTACATTTTAATGAAACTGCAATATCAAAGACAGAAGATTTTAAAGTAGCTAGAAAGAGGGAAGTATATTACCTACAAAGGATAAACCGACTTTGCTACAGCAACAGTGAAAGCCAGAAGGTGGAATAATCTCAGAGTGTTGAGAAAATAAAATTGTTTCTCCAACTAAACTGACCTTTAAGAATGAGGGACAATGCATTTGGAAACTTAATAACACACTTCTGAATAACCCATGCGTCAAATGAAAATTCATAAAAGATATTAAAAAATATTTTAAACCGAATGAAAATGAAAACATAACATAAAAATTTATCGAATGCAACTAAAGCAGTGCTTATAGTGAAACTTTTACCACTGAACACTTGTATTTAGAAAAGTAGGTCACAAATCAGTGACCTCAGCTTCAACTTTAAAAAATTAGAAAAAGAAAAATGAAAAGTAAATAGAAAACAGTCAATAATAAGATGCAAAATTCAGTGAAACAAAAACAATAGAGAAATGTCAAGTCAAGTGCTGATTCTTTGGTAGGTAATATTGATAAACCTCTGACTAATCAGGAAAAAGAATTTAAAAGAGAAGGCACAGATTACCAATAAAAAGAATGAGAGGGGTAACATTATGCAGATTACATACATAATGGATAGAAAACTTTATGACTAATCTTTATGCTAATAGATATATCAGTTTAGTTGAGATGAACAATATCTTGAAAGATACAAACTTTTAAAGCTCAGTCAAGAAAAATAGATAGCCTGAATATTACCTGTTAAACTGAAATAATTAAAAATATTCCCACAAAGAAAACTCCAACCCCAATGGTTTCTCTGGTGAATTCTACCAGGCATTTAAGGAAGAAATAATACCAGTTCTGCAAAAAATTTTATACCAACTTTACCAGAAAACTGAAGAGGAAAGACTATTTCCCAGCTCATTCTGTGAGGCCAATATTACTTTGATAAGAAAACTATAGACCAATGTTCCTAATTAACTTAGAGAAAAGTTTCTCAAGAAAATTTTTACAAATCAACTCCAACAATATAGAAAAAGAATAATACATCATAACCAAGTAGGGTTTATCATAGGAACGTAACGTTGGTTTCATATTCAAAAATGGATGTATGGATGTCGGGAAAATGGAATAAAAGACTCCAGGATAAGTTCCTCCACTTAAAACAGCTGTTGAGCTGGCAAAATCTTTTAAAATCAGCTATTTTGGAATTACACACTACCAACACCAATGGAATGCTTGATGAAAAAAAAAAAAGGCTGGTGAATGTTGACGCTTAGCATTTTACATGCGGACACTACTAGCCCCCAGCCCAGTGGCAGACAGCTGAGAAGACGGCCGTACCTCTTTTCTTCAGCCAGATTGAGCAATAAAGACCTTGTCCTCCAGAGATTGGTTCTGTGTCTTTTAATTTGCCTGTCAGTTCACTGAGGGTCCAGGGCAGGACAGGATAAAACAGCTTCCTGGGTAGTGTCTGTCAAAGAATTTAAAGAAATAAGACACTGTGTATTCCCCACATCCATCTCTTTTTCTCATTGGATCCAGGCATTCACTGAAATCTCTGAAAGGTCACTGGCTGACTGTGGAATTAATATATCGAAGATTTCAGTGACCACACACCAGAAAGAATGTAGTCCTTGCCTTAAAGTCATCAAACAAATGACTTGACATCAGCAATCTTTGGGGAAGGGGGAGAGTGATAACCAGAGTTACCACATTACAATATTCAAAATGTCTAGTTCTCAATAAAAAATTATAAAGCATACAAAGCAATAAGAAAATATGGCTCATTCACAGGGATAAAAAAGAAACTGACAGAAAGCATCCCTGAGGAAGCCCAAACATTGGACATACTAGAAAAAGACTTTAACTGTCTTAAATATGCTCAAATTGCTGAAGGAAATCATGGGGAAAGAACTAGGAAATCAGGAGGATGATGTATGAACAAATTTGGAAATATGGATGAAGAAGTAGAAATTATAAATAAGAACTAAATAGGAATTCTGGAACTGAAAAGTTATAATAGCTGAAATAAAAATTAACTTCAGTCATGTGCCACTTAATGACATTTCAGTCAAAGCAGGACCACATATATGATGGTGGTCCCATAAGATTATAATGGGGCTGAAAAATTCCAGCCACCTAGTGACACTATAGCAGTCATACTATCATAGGGCAAAGGTTGCAAAAATCAACAAGTCTGTGATTGAGGTGACAAACAACTTTAACTGGATATGAAGGAGTATGGGCATTGAGTAGCTCCTAAAGGTGGTTCCTGAGGAATTGACTAATGAGGAATTGTTGGAACTAGAACAGGAACGCATAGCTGAAAAAGAGGCAAGAGAACAGGAAACTGCAGAAGGAAAAAAACCTCAAGAAAATTTGCAGTGAAGACTTTAGCAGAAGCATTTGCAGACCTCAGTAATCTCCTTAAAAAGTTTGGTAAAATGGAAAAGTAATCTCCTTAAAAAGTTCGGTAAAAAGTTTGGTAGAAGCTTTTCATTACTGAAAGCTTTCCATTAATAGAGAGAAATGTCATGATGCATTATCTGCTTACAAGCAAACCTATGATGAAAAAAAAGAAACCAAGCAAACCACCACAGACATATTTCTTAAAAGACTGACACCTCCTCAAGAAGGTCCTTGGGCAGGTCCTCTCAGAGGAGTTCCAAAAGAAGGCATTGCTCTCACAGGCGATGACAGATCCACGCGTGTCCCCGACCCTGAAGGCCTTCCAGTGGAACAAGATGCGGAGATGGGAGGATTGAGACTGATAACCTTGACCCTGCGTAGGCCTGGGCTAATGTGTGTGTTTGTGTTTTAGGGTTTTAACAAGACAAGTTTAAAAAGAGAACTATTTTAGGATAATGATATTGTATAAAGAAAATAACTTTTGTACAGCTCTACAGTGTGTTGTTGTAAGCTGTTATTATAAAAGAGTCCAGAAGTTTTTAAGTTATAGGTCACAAAGTAAAAAAGTTACAGTAAGCTAAGGTTAATTTGTTATTGAAGAAAATGTTTTTATACATTTAGTGTAGTCTGAACGTAGAGTGTTTATGAAGTTTACAGTAGCATATGGTAATGTCATAGGCCTTCAAATTCATTCACCGACTCACCCAGAGCAACTTCTGAACCTGTAAGCTCCATTCATAGCAAGTACATATAAGTGGACCTGTGCAATTTACACCTATATTGTCCAAGGATCAACTGTATTATACCTCTCCTATGTTTAGGTATGCTTACATACACAAATACCTACCACTGAGTTACAGTTGCCTACAGTATTCAGTACAGTAACATGCTATACACCTTGGTAGCCTACCAGCAGTTGGCTTTTCCATATAGCCTAGGTTCGTGTAAGGGTACTCCATGTTTGCACAATGAAATTGCCTAACGAGTCATGTCTTAGAACATCCCTGTCATTAAGCAATGCATGATTATAGAAGGGTTCAACAACAGATTTGAGTAGGCAGACGAAAGAATTGGAGAACTTGAAAAGAGGGCCGTTGAAATTGTTCAGTCAGGAGTCACTGATTTAAGCTAATTTACTCTCATGAAAATTTATCCGTAATTTTTGCAAAAGATATGTTCTTTTATTAATTGTTTTGCTAATGAAGCTTCTGGTGTTGTCCTATGAAACTATAAATATTATTTAATTTTTTAAAGTAAAAGAGTTCCTGTAGTTTATTTTAAAAATATTGGAAAATTAATTCATTAAAAATACAAAAATGCTTTAAAAAAAGAAGAAATTAAGTTTGGAGAGCAGAAAGAAAAATGAATTTTAAAATATTAACAGAGCCTGAGGACCTATGGGACACGGTCAAGCGTGCCAACATACACATTATGGAGTCCCAGAAAGAGAAGAGAGGGAGAAAGGGGCAGGAAAAAATACTTGAAGAAACAATGGCCAAAAGCTTCCCAAATTTGATCAAAGATATGAATCTGCACATCCAGAATTTCAGTGAGCTCCAAGAAGGGTAAACTCTTAAAAGAGATTCACACCAAGATATATTATAATAAAACTATTAAAATTCAAAGAAAATTCTAAAGCAGCACGAGAGGTGATTTTGGTCATATACCAAGAATCTTCATTAAGTATAACAGCTAGTTTCTCATCATGTGGAGGTCAGAAGACACTGGATGATAAATGCTAAAATTTAAAAACCGTAAACAAAGTCTACATCTGGCAAAATTCCCTTGAAAACTGAAAGCAATGAAGTATTCTAAGATAGAAAAGCTAAGCGAGTTTGTCACCAGTAGACCTGCCCTGGAAAAAATACCAGAGTTCTTCAGCCTGAAACAAGTCAATGTTTCTCTTTCTCTTTTTCTCTTTCCCTTCCTCTCTCTCTCTAAAATCAATAAATAAAAAATAAAACAACTTAATTTCTCTAAGCTTCAGATTCCTCACCTGTGAAATGCTAATAATACCTACATCACAGAATTTTTGTGGGGAATAGTGAGGTAATGATTCAAAACATTGAGCACAGAAAGGTACTCAGTAAATTGTGAATCTCGTTGAAATTAATTAAAATGTTTTAAAATGTTAAAAAGCAGTTAGAAAAATGAGGTTCCACCCTGACTGGTGTGGCTCAGTGGATTGAGTGCCAGCCTGCAAACCAGGGAGTTGGCAGGTCGATTCCCAGTCAAGGCACGTGCCTGGGTTTTGGGCAAAGTCCCCAGTAGGTGGCTCATGAGAAGCAACCACACACTGATGTTTCTCTCCCTCCTTTCCCCTCGATCTAAAAATCAATCAATCAGCCTTTTCTAAAAAAGAAAGAAAAATTAGGTTCCATAAAACTTGGGCTTTCATATTCTGACTTTTAGCTTTCTCCTAAAACAGATGTTTAATGCCCTTTTCGAGGAACCCTGGTACATTCTGCAAGAGATAGTGGCGAACTAATTCACAAATTTGAACCTCAGGCCCTGACTGGGCAGCTCAGTTGGTTAGAGTGTTGCCCCGATATAAAAGGTTGCCGGTTCAATCTCCGGTCAGGGCACATAACAAGAAACAACCAGTGAATGTATAAATAGTGGAACAGCAAATCAATGTTTCCCTCCCCCCGCACACACTCCCCTCATCCCTCTCTAAAAATCAATTTTTTTTTTTAATTAAAAAAAAAATGTTGCCCAGCCTAGCCTTCTAGAATCAGGAAATCAGGTAACTTGTACAGAAACACAAGAGTTCTGAGAAACAGATGTTTCTCTCCAGGGATGAATACAAATTTTATAGCTCACCGACTCCCTTTAACAGCATTAAAGCTTTCATTTTCAAGTTTTTATATCATTTTATTAATAGGCACTGTACTTCATGTTTGATTTTATTGTGGTTAATTGTTCCCAGACATTAAATTATTTCTTTAGGTTTGGGGTAGGTTAAATAGGTGTTCTAACACTTGAGGATGTAAGAATAAATTTGGAGAATGTTTCAAGGTTATGAAAAATTGATTGCCTGTTCTTAGAACTTAGGGCCATCATCTTGTTCTTTTGTGTATATATGAAGCGTCAGGGGTGGGATATTTCTCAACATTGAATAAGAAAAATTGCAGTATAGAATCATGTTTCTAAAAGTTGATAGGAAAATATTATTTAGAAATGCTACGTATTTGGCAAAGATGATTAAAATGATAGAATGAAAAAAAATTTGGAGAATTCAAGGTAATTTTTTCATTTTTGAATCCAAGAAAGGTATAGGAGTATGTCAGTCTTTAAAAGTATTAGGAAAACACATGTTAATAATCTTTATTATTTTAATCTTTATGATTTTTGCATAGTAAAACTTCATAAAGCAAAGCATATACCACAGTGTCTTACCAATAATTTTGATTACTGCTGTTTTTAACCACTTATCTAAGAGTAAAACAATTATGTCATCATTTCTTACACTTGGATTCAGAATGGTCAGGAAGTGTTTGAAGGATAACAAAACCAAAACCAAAGAGTTTTGACAGCTGCTGTGTGGTGATACTGATAATAAACCATAGGCTGCAGATAAGGAGGTAAATCGTATCCTAGCTAGTGCTCCTGCCGTGCCTTACAGCTTGTCACAGCTAAGAGCAAGACTAAAGTCCAGAATGATTTGGAGGTAAGTATACCCAGGGAAATAATTCTGGGAGTTTTGTTTATTTGCTTGTTTTTAAGTAGATTCAGAAATACACAGTATAAGACGTTGGAGAAATATTCAGAAGGATAGTGGTGTGAGAATATTTCAGATCTATAAAAATAAAATGGCTTCTGCTGATAATTTTGATCCCATGTAAAATAGAAAATAAAACTCATAACTTTGTGTTCCATTCTGGGTGATGATAATACTAAATTATGTTAATATGTTTAACATTGTATGTTTCAGAAGTTGGACTTTATAGAGTCTGACAGTTCCTGTTCCTCCGAAGCACTTTCAAAGAAAGAACTCTCTGCTGAAGAGCTGTATAATCGACTTGAGAAACTCATTATTGAGGACAAAGCAAATGATGAACAGATCTTTGACTGGGTAGAGGTATAACGACTACATTACCTTCCCTGATAGCTCTGCAAGATAGATTCCTGAGGGATTTCCTTAATTCACATAATTAACCTTTCACTTCCATAAGCGCTTTTAACTGTATGATGTTTGTTTTTATTCTTACACGTATGTGGATTTGAAACTCTATAAATCTGTTTTCTCTATTTTTTTAAGATTAGTTTTGCCATGGCTGGTATGGCTTAGTGGATGGAGTACTGGCCTGTGAACTAAAAGGGCACGGTTTGATTCCCAGTCAGGGCACGTGCCTGGGTTGTGAGCCAGGTCCCCAGTTGGGGGCGTGCAAGAGGCAACCAGTTGATGTCTCTATCGCATATCAGTGTTTCCCTCTCTCTCTTTTTCTGTCTTTTCCTCTCTCTAAAAGTAAATAAATAAAATGTTTAAAAAATAGAAAGATTAGGTTTTGTGAAGTCAAGTAAAAATACTCAGAACATGAGCCATTTTTCTGGGTCTCCCCTTAGGTTAGGATATGTTCTACATTTTACCATTCAAAAATTTACATTTTTAAGTGTTCTCACATTTTAAATACTATCCTTGATAAAAATTAATAAGTAATATGTAGTTACTACAAAAGGTGTTGGCTTACTACACTCCCTTTTGAAAACTTGTAACTCAGTTACCTTGTGGCGTCTGTTGATCATGTCTGTTTTTAAGCTGGTACTGTATTTCTGTAAGTAGTAATTCTTGTTTATGTAGGTATGTTTTATTTGTGTACATTTTCCATGGGATCATATAATAATCCAAGTTGAAGGAAAGCCATGGAGGGCTAATCTAGTCCTCTCCCCCTTTATAAATACTCCTTTGTAGTCCTTCCGATAGGTTATTATTTCTCTAACCACTTCCATTCATTGAGAAATAATGAAGCCTCTGATAATTGGGTTGTTTGTTTTTGTTTTTACCTATTTTCTCCCATGTCCGTACAAGATAAGTCCATCATCTCGCCTAGTGGGTAATCTTTTAATTAGTTGTAATAGCCTACTGTCATACTCCGGTCTCGCTCTCTCAGTTCTTTCATACTTCATTGAAGTTTTGATATCCAGACTCTTGTCCAGTTACTCTTATCCAAACATAACCTCGATTTTTAGCATCAGTCTCAAAGTGACATGTGCAGACTGAGCATGATCACCAGATGTGGCCCAACAGAGTCAGATGGCGCTGTTTTTTATGTTCCAAACTGTGTGCTCTTGGCAGGCTCATCACACAGAACTCAAATTGCTCTTTCGGTCATGTAGTACCCGTTCTTCCATGTTCTACACTTTCACCATCACCTCCCATCCTGAACTTGGGCATTTTGTTTTGGAACCAAAATGGGGTTTTTACATTTATTTCTGTTTATGCTCATCTTAAAAGAGACAACGTTTTTCAGCCCTCGCTGGTGTGGCTCAGTGGGTTAAGCAGTGGCCTGTGAACCGAGGGATTGCCAGTTCGATTCCCAGTCAGGACACAGGCCAGGTCCCTGGTTGGGGACGTGCGAGAGGCAACCAACTGATGTTTCTCTCATATATCGATGTTTCTTTCCCTCTAAAACCAAAAAAAACAAAACAAAACCTTTTTTACTCTGTCACATTATATATTCTGACTTGGACTTGGTCATAAAATTTGCTTGCCATCTTTTTCACTTTGTACTCTCCTTTCATTTTACTAATATGCCAGCTGTGTCCTCTTCCAAGTTATGGGTGAGTGTAAATGGGGAAGGGCCAGGGACAAAGCAGCATACTTTCAGCGAACAGACTGCACTCCCTGAGCCATGGACACCATAGCAGCTCTCAGCCTGTTTATTAAGTCACATCATTCCATCGAGCTCTCCTTTTCATCTTGTCTAGAAGGGATATCAGTCATTAGATAACTTGTCAACTGCTTTGCTGAAGTCCAGAGGAGAGTTATGTCTATATCCATCTGACCTGCCTTATACTAATCAAGTCAGAAAAGGAAAGGTCAGTTTAGCATGACTTTTTTCTCATGTACTTACTTAGTCCTTCCAGCATAAGCATCCCTTTCCTCTCTTAGACTTTCAGCTATTCATGTGATAGTTTGTTGTAGAATTTAGCATAAAATAGGGATCAATCTTGCTGGTATGTTACTGACATCATCTACCTACTTTTTTGTTTTAGAAGTCAGGTCAGTGTTTGCATATTTAACATCATTCTCTTCGTGATTTTTCATAGATGGCCATCATGAGCAGTTTGGCCTTTTATTTCACATGTATTGCAAAATGATGCTGTTTTTACTTCATCCATATTGGGCTATATTTTTATATATAATTATTTATTCTACCTATTCTGGATGAACAGTAATTCTTAAAGAGAAGACAAAGGGTAAATTTTACTAAATGTAAATTAAACCTAATAAAGATGACTTTAAAAAAGAGAGTGAGAAAGCAAAAGCAATAGTAGCTGAGTTCACAATACATACAGATGTTTGTCGCTCTGTCTGATACCAATATTGTGTAAATCTGACTTTGCTTATCTATCCCGAGTAGCAGATGAAGACCCATCTTCATTCCTGTTCTTGCCCATTTTTGTTAACATCTTTGTTTAATCTATAATGTTCTTGACACTTTTCTTCGGGTCTTTTTCTGCTCTTGAATATTAGAATTACAATATTCAGCTTTATTTTTGTAGAAGAATTATGCAGTTTGTTTTTTTTAAAAAAGAAACAGTGGTTTGGAAGTGGTATTTATGATCTAATTACATTTAGCTAATTTGTTTCTTTTTCTCAGACTCTGCTTGAAATCTAAGCCTATGGGAATTTCAAATGAGAGTTCAGTGCTTGAAATAGTGGCTATTCAATTGTTTATAAAGTATTGTTGAGCCAGAAAGTGACATATTTTTATTCTCATTTATTGTTCAAAAATAATTGTTCAGACTTTGAAGAAGTAATTTCTGGGGCTAGACCAGCCTTTTTTCAGCCTAAATAAAATATTACTTAAAGAGCTATAAACCGACAATCGACTATAAGACATAAATCATCCTGAAATCTTTCATGTATGACTCTTGCCCCACTCCATCCTCAGCCTCAGCTGTCAGCAGTGCAGCCATGTGTTTCATGTTTCTGTTCTGTGGGAAAAGATCGGTAATGAAACCTCTTACTGGAACATAGTCTTTTGTGTTCGTCTCTGCTGGTTTCCCACAAAACCGGCCATCTCCCTTGTTAGCACTCTTAATTCTGCTCTCAAGAAACTACCATTTCCTTCCAAGTGATATTTGAGGTTAGATATTCAACAATGAGAAAGCTGCTAGTTAATTTATGTCAGTTCTAAAATTCATAAACATTGAATTGATCATCTCTGAATATCTTTGTAATTCTTAGCTTTCTAACACAGAAGTTTGTAATGGCATCTTCAATTTTTTTTCCTAACCAGTCGTTTTAAGTCTCATCCTTTCAGGGGAAAATACTGTGCTGTGCTATTTAAAACAAAAAACAAAAAACCAAAAAAAAACTGAAACAAGCATTAATTCTTTTCACACATGTAAGGAACATAAACTTTGAAAAGTATTCTAAATATCTGCCAAGGAAATGTCTTCTTTTGTTTGTCATTTCCTTTTGCTACTTATCTTTTATAGCAAGAAGATATAAAGAGAAATAAGATCTTAAGAGAAATAAACTAAAAAATAAATTTGGGGCTCATTTACTTAACATATATTTCTAAATGAATTTTTTGCTAGCCTTAGAAAAGAGTAACAATTTTGTCACCACCACCTGAAGGGTTTGTATGAGGCAATGCTTGAGGTTAATCTCTAACTCAACTAACTTAATTAAAATTAAGATGAAAAGCAGTGTTAGCTCATCTAAAAAAGGGTTGCACACAACTGAGAAAAGTAATCTTTAAAATACACTGTGGTTGTATAGCTCTTTCAAAAGTATAGATTTGGGTGAATCATCTTAATATGGGTTATTTATTGGGGAAGAAAAATGTTTTTACATCATTCCACTTCTAAATGTATACGGTACACAGCACTGTATAATAGAATGAGCAAAGGAAAAGCAGTGATAATATCCCTGAAAATTAAATACTGCTACTTAGAACATTTTCAGACATAACTGACAGTAGCTTAAGTATTTTTCAGTGAATCAGAAGATTAATTTTTGCAAGAAGGTTGACTATGACCCCATGTGCCCTTAGTGCCAGATGAGACCTAGTTTACTAGAAATAATTTCTCTGGTGTGCGAGGGTACCTTTAACTGTTCCATTTACTTTTGATATCAGGCTAATCTAGATGAAGCCCAGATGAGTTCACCTACATTCCTTAGAGCTTTAATGACAGCCGTTTGTAAAGCAGCTATTATAATAGGTAAGTAACATTTCTAAAGGGAAAGCTTAATAACTGAAATCCCCACTATGTCAAATACTGATGATTTGGGCCTGATTTTATATTACCTTTAAAACTTGCCCTGTATAGCTCCATTTCTGTGCAAATGGGTGCCATTTCTGTCTACAATGCCTGGTTGTCTCAAGCAGGGGGATGACTAGCTGCTCTGCCTGCCAAGAGCCCAGATCTGAGCAGCTACTGCATGCCTGTGGTTGTTTTATACTGTTGAATGTTACTTTTCTAATTCACCTCCAACATTGAAAGCCGCCGCCTCCTTCCATTCAAGAGTTATAATAAATGGCCCTGGCTGGTTTGGCTCAGTAAATTGAGCACTGGCCTGCAAACTGAAAGGTCACCAGTTCGATTCCTGGTCAGGGCACATGCCTGGGTTGTGGGCCAGGTGCCTAGTTGGGGGCATGGGAAAGGCAGCTGATCAATGTTTCTCTCCCTCTTTCTCCTTTCCTCCCACTCAAATAAATAAATAAAATATTAAAAGAAAAAAATTTCTTAAAAAAAGTTATAGTGAGCTCTGGCTGGTGTGGCTCAGTGGATTGAGTGCCGGCCTGCAAACCAAAGGATCACCAGTTCGATTACTAGTCATGGCACATGCCTGGGTTGCGGGCCAGGTCCCCAGTAGAGGGTGCACATGAGGCAACCACACCTTGATGTTCCTCTCTCTCTCCTTCCTCCCTTCTCCTCTCTAAAAATAAATAAAATCTCTTCTTAAAAAAAGAATTACAGTAAATGGGTTGGATATTCTTAACCTAATATCAATCAAAGACTAATCTCAACAGGAAAACCATTTTATAGAAACACATATATGAGGAAAGAAAATACCAGTTGCTTCTTCTGATTTATGTTGGCTTTATATAAGACAATTTTATTGAATGTTGATGAATCCATAGATAGGATTAGATTGGTAGAAACCCTAAATATTCTAAGCTGCCTAAAATATTTAACAACATTTAACAAAATCATGCTCTTAGCCTCAGAGAGACATCTACATTTCTGGTACTGAAATAGGAAAACAAATAAAGCCTTAAGCTCAAAAGTTCTTCAGAATTTCAGGCCTCTCTTTGTTATTTCAAAAAATAGCTTCAGAATTGTAATTTAAGATTTTCAATGTTAATTCTTTAATGAGGTAAACAACAAGGTAAGTAGAAAGTCTTCATTACATTTTTTAAAAATCATTTCCACTATCTGTGGAAACATAAGACTTTGGCATTTTAAAATCAAAGTTGGAATATATAAAAGCTGCTTTTAAAAACGACTGTGTCCTAGTGCTAACTTACAGAGGAACTATAACTTTATGTTTCTTGGCACTGAAAATGCTTTCCTCAGCCCCTTTTTATTACGCCTTCCCCCCAAAAGCCTAGACCAGGTATGTTGTTTGTTACAGTTAGTCCTTATCCTCCTATAGTAAATAAAGTAGTTCTCATTCTCTTGCCCTTCTGAAAAGATTTGCATGAACTACCACTCTAATATCCTTTTTAATGTTCCGTTTCTATTTTGGAATGTCATAAAACCACTGTACCTCTTTCATCATGATTAAAGCTAAAGAATTTGGTACACTGCTCTTGAGGGAACCCAGCACTCAAAACACATCCCCACTCTGGGTTTTTTTTTTTTTTTTTTTTTTTAATTATTTCAGAAAGAATATCCCATTGAGAATTTCAGAACATTCTGAATTGCAGAATCTTCTCCTTGGACCTCCTTGGCTGCGTCTTTCCTTGTGGAGTCATATGTGTCTGAAAGTCTCATAAATTGAAAATGGCTCTATGTGTTATTTCCTTAAATGTAATGCTTAGTTCTTCTCTCACCTGCAGCCGACTCTTCCACCTTCCGAGTGGACACTGCTGTGATCAAGCAGAGGGTGCCGATCTTACTCAAGTACCTAGACTCAGATACAGAGAAGGAACTGCAAGCACTTTATGCACTACAAGCATCAATAGTAAAACTTGATCAGCCTGCCAGTAAGTTTACTTCTTGCTACAATTAACCCAACCAAGGGTGAAATTTATCCAGGCCAAGCCTTCAGCAACAGTTTGATGGGTTCGAACAGGAGATAATAGAAGAATTACTGGTAACAAAAATTCAAATAACAACTTTAATAAACCTAAATTTTCTATGTACCTGACTTTTATAAGAAAATGATAAGATAACTAGTTTAAATTAGATATTTAATAGTCACCTTAGGAAAGGTTTAACCTTAGGAAGGTCTAACAAAACTTTCTGCAGTGTTGGAAACACATCTTTACCGTGCAGTGTGGCAGCCATGAGGCACATATGTTAGCTGAATGTGGCTATTGTGGCTAAGAAACAAAATTTTAAATGTTATTTCAGTGTAAATAACCACCCTGGTTAGTAGGAACCCTATTGAACAATGCCGGTTTAGGGCATCTCAGTATTAGCATTTTTTTGATACGGGTATTAATAATGAAGGAGAATGATACTTTTCAGAATCCTCAGGTACCCAACAAAGACATTAAGACATTTTAGGTTAGTTTTCAGTTAAGGGTTATGATTAATGCTGGCTAATCAGACAGAGTTCCTGACACCTAAGTCTTGGTATTGGTAAATTAACTGAATTGTATTAAATCTTGAAAATTCAGTTAAAACTCGTAAAAGTGGATATTATATGGCTATTAGAGATAGCACTGAGGTAGCTCTTTGGCACTTCTTGAGGTCGTGGCTTTGGCAAAGTTTTCTTCCTTTGCTAGTGTTGACGAATCACTCTACGACAGTGATATTTAACCAGTGTGCTGCAAGAATTTTTAAAACATGCAATACCTGACTATTTAGTCAGGGGCACCAACCACTTTTCCCTTAGATTGTAAAATTTTTTTTTTTTAAATGATAATAACCAACACAACAGTAGCTGTCTGGTGCAAATGAATCAAAATTATACCTTTGTGTGTGTCTCAGATTGACAAAAAATACATTTTTTGGTGTGACACAGAATTTTAGTAATTTGTTTATGTGTGCCATGAGGTAAAAGAAGGCTGAAAAGCACTGTTCTAGGAGGTAAAGGAAAAGATTGAAACAAATAATCCTCAGGGTATAACTGAAGAGACCTCTAAGTCTGAATAAGAGAACTAATCTGACTTTATTTTCTCTCTCTCCAGACCTTTGAAAGGTTGTTTAACATTATGGCTTCCCTTTTTTATTCTTATAGGATGAGGATACTAACTTTTCAAGAGATGGTTAAGTAGTTGGATAAAACTGATGCTGTGTGCTCAGCCAGTCAAAGTATCTCCCATAATTTGTCAACCTCAATAATCCCTGGAGAGATGTTTAATTCTAGGTTTACCACCAACATAATCGTGGCCACTTGTTTCCATTTCCCCATTGACCAATTGGGGTTTAGAGAATGAAGTGACTTTAATATTGGCTTGACTAATAAAATTACAAAGATAAATCTAAAGAAAAAGTTTAATAAGACTCATTATAAACCTAACATTTATTAGCAGTTATTTATTCTACTGCCTCCCTCCATTAATATGATTGATTGGTGAGCTGACTTTAAATGAATTTTAAGAGCCCATACAGGAAAGAATTTTTTTTCAAAGAATATATAAAATCCTCTGCTAGGTTTTATGTCCTAACTTTCTCCATTTTCTGAACAATAATATAAACTAAGTTTCCATTGTGAGAGCAAAACAGAGAATTAGAATTGCCCAGATTATCTGAGTATTAAAAACAATAAAATCACTGTCATTTCACTGGATAAAATCAAGGTGCAATCATTTTTACCCATGTTTCGATGTAAATTATTACTCTTTTCTAATATTTTTTTGAAAATAATATTAGAAAGGGGGGAGTACATCCAGTCTTTTCCTGCCAAAATTTGTAAAAATAATGTTTATATTGTAAAATTCAAATGAAGAAATATATAAAATAAATATTTTGTCTTTGATTTGCTTTTGTATTTAATTTTTAAAGTGTTTAAGTAGACAACTACATAATATCAAACAGCTCAGCAATATCAGAAAATAGTTCAAGTTGCACCAAATAACAGAAATAAGAAATAATTGAGACTGTTTAAGTCTTCTTTCCTGTTCTTGAGACACGTTGTTTTGCTGCTTGTATTATCAAGATGGAGTATAATGAATTGTGGATTCTCTTCTCTAGGGAATTAATTGTGCATTCATTCATTGCTTGGAATTACAATCTTTCCTTCACAACTACAGTGCCCCTACAACTGATGGTTTGTTTTCACTTCCTTGCAGATTTGCTCCGGATGTTTTTTGACTGCCTGTATGATGAGGAGGTAATCTCCGAGGATGCCTTCTACAAATGGGAAAGCAGCAAGGACCCTGCGGAGCAGAACGGGAAGGGAGTGGCCCTGAAGTCTGTCACGGCATTCTTCACGTGGCTGCGGGAAGCAGAAGAGGAATCGGAGGATAACTAAAATTTCAAATACACAAAAAGAAACAAAAGAAACAATTTAAGTATTTTTTTAAAAAGTTTCACGTCTTCGCCAATCACAGTGCAGCAAGGCCAATTCTCGCAGAAACCCCCACGTGTGCACGAGTGGGAGAGGGGAAAGAGAAAAAAGGTGATCATGGAGGAAAAAGGTACTGGAAATAAGTACACTTCAACCTGAGGGCGGGAGCACTAAAACCAAAATACATGTATTATTTATAGAAAATATTTTCTGTTATAATCTTTTCTTTTTAAACGAGGACTCATACTTTAAAAAAAAACACATCTGTTTAGCAAAAAAGTTGAGAACTTTTAATTTATTTTAAGGACTGCAAATGCCAGTGTAATTTTTTAATTTGCAGTTTCTGTAAACAACTTGTATAATAGAAAAGCAGAGAAATAAATTTCCCTCCCCTTAAGATGCACCTCAAGTTTGTTTTAAAGCATAGTAGTTAGTCCAGATTTAAGAAGGTTTGGGGTGAACAAGGTAAGAAAGATATTTTTTTTTTTTTTGGCATCAAATCTTTCTGCCTGCCTCTCAGCTTGCTTCAGAAAATTTAAAAAAAAAAAATCACAATAGTAATCAAAACATACATAACCTTGGAACAGAAGGAAATGCTGTGGACCAGAGAACTCCAAGAATTGTTTTAAAAAAAAAAAAGTGCTACCCTTGGAAAAGTACTCTCAATACTTTTGAAATCTTTAGAGCAACTATAAGGCTTGTAAATACATAGAATATTTAAAAAAACAAAAAGAAATTGACTCAATACTATTTCTTTTCACTTTCAAAATATAAAGAACAAAATAAAGACAAACATTGCAAGTTTAAAAGAAAGTAAAATGACTTCTCCTTTTGACAGCTGCTGCATGTGTGCCCATCTCTGGGAGGTACTGTTTGTTGTCTAATCCGAATCTCCTGGGAGGCTGGAGAGGGAGAGGAGGTGGGAGGGAGGAGGAGAAAGAGAGAATGAGAGAGCGTGTGTCTGCAGTTGGGAAATGCAAGCTACTTTGGGGTAAGGATAGTGCTTGTACTTGGGTGGGAAAGCCCCTTTGGAAGTCCAGGGAAGCTTCTTTCGAAGTAGAAATACATTTCGGGTGGGAGCAACCTAGGGCGATTTTTTAAATAAATAAGTGTTCCACTGTATGCATTAGGACTAGGGACACTAATTAACTTAGAGACTAACACAACTGATTTTTAAATCATCAGTTGCCTCCAAAGATGTCTTCTAAACAGTGAAAGAAACCAAAGCTAAATTACACTTTAAAAAATGGGCACATAGGGTTTAAAACCAAACTAAAATACTGTGTGTAAACATCACATTGTTCCCCAACTTCATCTTTACTCCAGCTATTTTGGTGAGTATAATACCAACTTTTGTGGGTTTTGGCCTCTCCTTCTCCTACAGATTTTGGAATGTTGTGTTTTTTGTTGTTGGGGGTTTTTTCCCTCTTTTTACGAAGCTGTAGTCTGGTTTTCCATTTCAGTTGTTTATAGGCCGTCACTCTACAAAATGTATTTTTGAAGAAAGACAGGCTGTTCCCAAATAAACAATCTTCATATTTTGTATCTGGATAACCAAAGAGTTCTTCTGGCTTTCATCTCTGAAGACAAATACTCACATTAAGAGACTTGGCAAGATTTAAGAAGCACAGGAACAAAATTTTCCGTAGCAACAAGTTTTCTAAAGAGTGTAGTTGAACACAATACAGAATTCCTACCATGTGAACCCACAGAGCCCATTCCACAGTCACAGAAAGCTGTTCTCAGAGAACCAAGCTCTGGAAGTCTTGTGACAGGCATGTGACAGGATCTGTCATAAAAGGTGGGACCTAAAAATCTGTTGGGGGTCGCTGCAGGCTCTTCCTGGGATTCCTCAGTTGGAAAAAACCTGATTTCTGATACACTGAGTTTTAACAGCTACCAGAATCAAAGTGCAAAGGGTTCTAATCCAGGAATCTCCTAAATGATACAGGTTTTTAAGTGTCGGCAGCACTCACGGAAGATGAAGGACAGGAAGTTTGGCAAAAGCAGGGTGGTGACTACTTTTTGGAAATCCGTGGCTGTGGTTTTCAGGGATCTGGCCAGAAACATTATTTCATTAGTAGTGATCGCCTATTCATCAGTACTTCGGATGTGGACAAGTATAAGGAATGGAGAAAAGAGAATAGTATTTTTGGAAAAAAGATCCAAGGGTTGAAAAAAGCTTCACATATAAATACCTATAAATCTCAGCTATAGCATGAAGTGTGATGAGACTACAAAGTTATTTTTGGGGATCTTGTTGCTTTATACACAGAATGTTAGAAGGGTTACCTACGTATAAAATATGAGCAAAGTGGCATAATTATTCCCTACTAATATCAACTATTCATGTCAGCTTAACTGCAAAACATTGTCATGATTCTTACCCTCTTCACAGTCTTCTCAATAGAAAACAGGGTTCAAGTGTTCAGGGTTTAAAGTAGCACGTGACACGGGCAGCATTGACATGATTGCACTCCTCCAAGCTGCGAGACAGGACATCTAGCACCGGCTAGTCCCAGGTCAGTAGTCTTACAGAGGTCACCTTTCCTAGTCAATAAACTTGAGCTGTAGGTGTCCATATCCTCCAGTTGTTTAATGAGAAATACCCTGTGTACTCATTAGCTTCCGATAGCACATGTATCCCCCAGGGGAAAATGACAATAAATGATCATCTATTAGTGTTGGGACTACCAAAAAAAAGAGACATTACCAAATCATGAAATGATTTACACATCAAAGAATCTACAGAGAATCATGTGCCAAATGTTTTTAAATGTTGCATTTTGAAATAATTTTACACTTAAAGTTTCAGAGAAAAGTACAGTGTTCCATATACCCCCACTCCCAGTTCCTCCTGTGAACATCTTACATGATCATAGGACATTTGTCAAAACTAAAAAACCAGCACTGGCATGTTGCTGTTGTCCCCAGACTTTATTTGGGATTCACAAATGTCCTCTTTGTAGGCCAGGATGCCATCCAGGACACCACATTGCACTTAGTCATCATGGATCCTTAGTGTTCTGGCCTGTGACAGTTTTTTAAATCTTTTCTTGTTTGTTCATGACCTTGACAATTTTGAGGAGTACTGGTTAGGTATTTTATATAATGTCTCATAGTTTGGGTTTGTCTGGCATTTTCTCATGATTAGACTGGTGTTTACGGTTTGGAGTAGAAATACCATATAAGTGAGGTGCCCTTCCTGTCTGATCAGATACCCACGTGACACCTTTGGTGATGTTTAACCTTGACTATATGATTAAGAAAGTTACTTTTCTTTCCTCCCTTTCTTGCTCTTCAAATCTGTTTGGAAGCTAGTCACTAAGTCTGTCCTGCGTTGGGGGAGGAATGTGGAGTAAGAATCAAATTCCACTTTCTTCCTGGTGTGGGAAAGATGTACAGTAGTCCCCCATTATCTGTGGGAGATATGGTCCAAGATCCCCAGTGGATGCCTGAAACTGAGGCTACTGCTGAACTCTATATACAATATATACTATTTTCCTATACATATATACCTATGATAAAGTTTAATTCACAAATTATGCACAGTGAGATTAGCATCAATAAAAATAAAATAGAACAGTTGTAACAATATGCTATAGTAAGTTATGTGAATGTGGTCACTTGTTTCTTAGGATCCCTTGCTGAAGTCCCTGTAGGCTCCATGCTTTTTGGCGCAACACTGGTTAGTTGCTGTCAGTCAGAACACATTTTCTGTTCATGTCTTTCATCCACAAATGTAATGCGTTTTCCATCTCAACTAAGCACTTACCATGTATTGTTACTGTAAGTGTTGCAGTTTGAGGTGCAAGAGCAAAACTATTGTGAATTTCTTTTTCCGTCTTCACAATTTCACGGATTTGTTCTTACTGTAGATCTTAGCAACCTCAGCATACAATTTATATTTCTTACTACATTGAGAACTTTTACCTTCTTTCTTGCAGTCCGCAAAGGCTTCTCTTGAGCACATCCGAATTGCCAGCCTCACTACTGTTGAGCTTTGGGGTCATTATTATGTAAAATAAGGGTGACTTGAACACAGGCACTGCGATACCACAACAGTCGATCTGTTAACAGAGACAGCTACTAGGTGACTAACGAGTGGGTAGCAGGGACAGCATGGAGGTGCCGGGCAAGGGGGCGATTCGGGCCCTGGCGGGGTGGAGGGGGCGGGGAGGCTTGTCGTGCTACTCAGAACGGCGTGCAACCCAAATCATGAATTGCTTATTTTTGGAGTTACCCGCTTCATATTTTCGGACCGCAGTTGACTGTAACTGAAACCACAGATGCTGTATTTAAATTATTTGGAATTCTCCCGCAAGTAAGATTTGTCACTTCTGTTTGTTCTTTATTCAGTCACATATATGTATGTATGTGTGAGATACATAATTTTATATATAATTACGTATATAATTTTATATAGAGAGTTTATATCATTACAGACTTGCATATTTATTTTATTTATACTTTTGAATTATAATCCAATATCATGTAATTTCATTGCTCAGAGTGTTCCAGCTTTGGCCATAGCTCTTTCAAGTCAGCTCAAGTGTCCCTTTGACTTTCCCTCATCCTTTTCATTGTATATCATTTTGTGATACTAAAAGATATCACAGGCATGTCTTGTCTTTGTCCTGTCCTAGCCCTAGAATCAGCCTTCTTTTTCAGAGAGGGGTTTTTTTTTTTTTTTCTGGTTTTGTTTTTTAAAGGAATGGTATTTAGAAACCAAGATCTAAGCATTGGGTGAACTCATTACTATTGGGTATCTCCGCTTCTATTTCTGCCAGCATTTTTTTTTAAAGATTTTATTTATTTTATTTTTTAGAGGGAAGGGGGAGGAGAAAGAGAGGGAGAGAAACATCAATGTGTGGTTGCCACTGGCACGCTCCTTCCTGCGGACTGGCCTGCAATCCGGGCATGTGCCCTGGCTGGGAATCAAACCAGCAACCCTTCTTTGCAGGCTGGCGCTCAGTCCACTACACCACACCAGTCAGGGCTTTTTACTCTAAGTTTTAACTGCCAGGTGAGTAAGCCACTTTCACATAAACATTATGACTTTTAGAAAATGTGCTTCATTTATTAGAGGACAACTCTGGGACCAAAAACACTCAAGCCTGTAGATGTTTCAATCATGCTTTTGCTCATCCTAGTAACAAAAAAAGATTGGAACTCTTCCCTCTCTCTTATTACACTGATTTGCTGTAACATTCCTGTATGTAGCATAACAATGTTTGCTCTAACATTGTAGCTAACAAATGTACCATGCAGTGCAGTATTAAAATGTCACCTGGGTGACTCAGTGGGTTAAATAATAATAATGGAAATTGTTAACTAAACAGAAGTTAACAGTGGGGGTACTGCATATCAAAACTTGTGAGATGCCACTCAAGTAGTACCTTGAGGTAAATGGGACGTCAGAGGAACCAGCTGCGGAAAAAATATTACCTGAGTGGATATTGAGTTACTCAGAAAGAAGTGATATGCTGTAGTGGAAAAGAGGTCTTAACTAGAGTTGGGAGATTTGTATTCTAATACTGGTGCTCCTGTACAGTGGTCATTTTTCCATTCTCATATGGATCTCCCTGTCCTCCCTCAAAAGAGTTCACTTGTGTCAGCCATAGGAACACATCCAGAATCTTTTTTTTTTTAATCCTTACCCAAGGATTTATTTTTATTGATTTTAGAGAGAGAAACGGTGATGTGAGAGAGACATCGCTTCATAGTTTTCGGTATGCTTCCTGACGGTAACCCTAAGCTTAGGTATGTTCCCTGACCAGGAATCAAACTGGTA